GCACATCCGGGGGCCGCGTGCATCGACCAGGCCTCCCCCCGCTTCACCCCCGCCTGCCCAGTGAGGCGAGCAGAGTGCCCACCGCCCAGCTGTCCTGGGAGCAGATCCGTGTACACATAATGTGCTTCGGGGAGCACCCGCACCTCGTCCGTACGAGTTCTTGCTGCTGCCGCCGATTTGCTCTAGTTGAGAAGAATTGGGTGCGTCTGTACATACTGATAGGCAATTATCGCCCAGGAATGCTGGCCGGTGAGAAACGCAGACAGAAGAGCGTGCGGGCCGTGCGGAGTGTGGCCTGGCCCGGGCTCGCTGTGTCCGGAGGAGCGCTGAGGGGCACGCGCAGGCACCTCTGGGGAGGAGGGGGGAACACCGGGGAGACAGGGCTGTGGGGGGTGTCCACACCTTCCATGCAGTTTGTAGCCACAGGCCTGCACCACCTGTTCACACAAACCCACCCCTGTACAGACTGATGACTCCCCTGCCGGAGCCTCCCACCGGACGGCGAACCCCCTGAGCACAGGAAGCCCGCTGGAGCCGCTGTTGAACTCCCAGTGCCCGGCGCGGCCTGGCACACGGATGTACAGGCAGATGCTGGCTGATGGGACCCGGTGGCCCCCTGCCAGGACCCTCTCTCCAGGCACAGGGCCCAGGAGATTCCCCCAGAGTGGGGTGGGGCGGTCTGGAGAAGGTGTGGCCGGGGAGGGGGCAGCCTAGAGAGCTATTTCCCAGACACGATCACCCGCACAAGCAGGACCCAGGTGTTCGTGTGTCCAGGCCTCCGGCCTCTAAGGAGCCTTCAGCCAAGGGCCAGCCCCTCGGACCACAGCGGACGCCCCTCTCCATGCAGGTGCTCCCCGCCCATCTGCCTGTGGGGCTGCACGGACCAGGGGGCGGCACCGTGGCAACAGCCTTGGCGGTGCCCAGGGGCTAACTGTGTGGATTTTACACCTGTGACGGGCGGAGTTCCAGGCCTCTGGTGGGCATGGGCATCAAACCGATGCCAGGGCTGAGGAGCAAAGTGAGGCCCCCGGACCCAGGAAGGGACCTGCAGGGGCCCCTCTGCCACTAGCCCCAACCTGAGGCCAGCCCCCCGCCATAGCCCTTTCCCATCTGCGCAGCAAAGCGATGGCTGCTCCACCGGAACCCCAGGAGAGCCCGGGGTGGAAAGAGCCAAAGCAGGAGCGATTGACCGCCCGCCACCCGCAGGTGAGGTGACCGCCCGCCCGCCACCCGCAGGTGAGGTGACCGCCCGCCCGCAGGTGAGGTGACCGCCCGCCCGCAGGTGAGGTGACCGCCCGCCACCCGCAGGTGAGGTGACCGCCCGCCCGCAGGTGAGGTGACTGACCGCCCACCACCCGCAGGTGAGGTGACCGCCCGCCACCCGCGGGTGAGGTGACTGACCGCCCACCCGCAGGTGAGGTGACCGCCCGCCACCTGCAGGTGAGGTGACCGCCCGCCACCTGCAGGTGAGGTGACTGCCCGCCACCCGCAGGTGAGGTGGAGAAGCAGGAAACGCCCACAGTCCCTTGATGAGCAGCTTCAGCACTGACGGGGGCAGGAACGCAAGTCTCGGCGAGATGGCGAGATGCCACTCGGAACACACACAGCACAGCACTGAGCACCGTCCTCTGTGGGTACGTGATGTGCACACAAAAATGGAAGAGGTCCAGCCGAAACCGGTTTGGCTCAGTGGATAGAGCGTCGGTCTGCGGACTCAAGGGTCCCGGGTTCGATTCCGGTCAAGGGCATGTACTCTGGTTGCGGGCACGTCTCCGGTACGGGGTGTGCAAGAGGCAGCTGGTCGGTGTTTCTCTCTCATCGATGTTTCGGACTTTCTATCCCTCTCCCTTCCTCTCTGTAAAAAATCAATAAAATATATATATATTTTAAAAATGGAGGAGGTCCAAAAGCTGTGCTGACACCCGGGAGGGCAGGGAAGGGGAACAGAATGGGGTGGTTAGGGGTTCTGCGTCTCTTCCATTTTTAATATGGGTGGGGTTCCTATTTTACCCGTGCCATCAAAATAATTCAAAAAGCCCCATTTACTACCAAGGCCTGCCCCGCCCCCACACTGCCGGCCATCCTCACTCTGCTAACTCCACGGTGCTCACCTCTCTCCCGGTGAGTGATTCATTACAGGATTCACTGGGGGAGGGGGGGCATTGGGGGCATAAGGACACGTAGGTAATAAATACCTGAATCAATAAAGAAAAGTGATAAAGTTCACCAGCTAAAAGCATTGGTAGGTCTTTGCCATTAGAAGAAGCTTGCTAAACTCTAAAAAAAAAAAAATTTTTTTTTTAAATGATTCACTGGTTTGGGCCAGCAACCCCAGACCGAGAGGTGAGTCCCACCCACTGCCTGTTTTTATGTAGCTCAAGGGCTAAGGATGGTTTTCTGTTTGGTTTTGGTTTTGGTTTTGATTGTTGTTTTTTGTGGTGGTGGATATTTTTTCCATTGACTTTTGGAGAGAGTGGAAGAGAGGGAGTGGGAGAGAGAGAAACATCAACGTCAGACACATCCGTTGGCTGCCTCTCCCACGATCCCCGACCAGGGCCAGGGATTGAACCTGTGACCCCTGGGTGCCCTTGCCCAATGCTCTAACCACTGAGCACACTGGTCAGGGCGGTTTTGGGTTTTTAAACCGTTGAAACCCAAGAGGTATAATATTTCATGACACGTGAAAATGATGTGGCATCCTAACTTTAGAGGATTTTATTGGAACCCCTCCACGCCCATTTGTCCTGAGAGAGGCTTTCTGCTGTAAAGGCAGAGCTGGGTGGCCGGAGCCTAAAATATTTACTGTTTGTCCTTTGTCTGGACGGTGAGCACCATGGGGTGGGTCCTCTTTCCTTCTCTATGGATCCCAAGTGCCCACGGCAGTGTCTGGCACACAGTAGGTGTGCAGTGAGTCTGGCTGAAGGAGGGAAGTGGAGGGCGTGGAGACACCCCATCAGCCTCCTAGGGACAGTGAGCCCCACTCTGTCTGGCAGACGCCACCACCTGTGGGGCCCGAAGACGAGCCCTGGGAGAGGCGGGGAGGGGGGGCCGTGCTGCTTGTCCCTGGAGTGGGCAAGCCTAGAGGTGGCAGTAGGGTGAGCACCAGGTCTCTGAAAAGGGGTATGGCCCTAGTCACAGAGGCTCCCCTCAGTGACCCTGCACTGGCAGCCCTGCCTGCCCCGGGGCTCCCCCGCAGCTGTGTGGGCTGAGCGTCTGTGCCCTCTGGTGGCTCCCCAAGGCATGCGCCGGCTTAGCCTGGCTGGCTTTCCTCGGGGAGGGGACCCTGGCCTGGCCTCCCTGGGCCATCAACAGATCCCAGGCTTCCAGCCTGAGCTTGCCTTGTTCCTTCCTGTCCCCCTCTGGCCCTCCCTCGGAGGCAGCCAGTGTCCAGGTGCCCCCACCCAGCAGGACGCCCCTCCTCTGGTTGGGCCAGGCAGGCCCGGTTCCTGAGCACCCCAGGCTGCCAGACGGCGGCCACCTGTCTGCTCCACGTGCATCCCCCCGCTCCATACACACACACACACACACACACACACACACACACACAGAGGGTGGGAAGTCACCGCGGGGCAGCCTCACACACGCCCTCGTTCTCTGCACGTCCGGAAAGTCCCCTGAGTGAGCCCTCCTCCGCGCGGGGAGGCTCTGTCTGCTGTGGGGCCGGGAACTAGTCTCAGACCAGCGTGCACGCCACCTAGCAGCGACCGCGTGCTCCGCACCACGTACACACTGCGCCCCCAGCAGCTGCTCCTGCCAAGCGACTGTGAGGCGGGAAGGCAAGGCCAGTGGGACCTGCCGGGGCCCTCAGCCTCCGGCGGGCGCCTGCCTGAGGGGATGGGTGGTTGAATGAGTAGATGAGTGGGTGGGTGTCCCATGGCAAAAGTGAGCTTTGGGGAACTCTGGGTCCCCAGCCAGGGTCATGCTCACTCCTACCAGTCATTCTTACTCCACCTCACCAGCCCTATTTCCACAGAGAGCCTGTTTCCACCCTCTCCCTCTGCCCCCACCCGCCCTCACCCCTCCAGCACCCCAGGCTTTCCGGTGCCGAGTCCACTCGGGCTTCAGCGCTGCTAGGGCAGCTGGTACTGAAGCCTGGAACACTGTTCTGGAGCTTTCCAGAGATGGTACCCTCTCCTCCCGCCATCTCTTCAAAGGGGCCCCTTCTCCAGACACCCCAGCTGTCACTGCCTAGCCCATCCCTCTTACTTTCTCATGCGTATATTTTTTAATATATTTTATTGATTTCTGAGAGGAAGGGAGAGATAGAAACATCAATGATGAGAATCATTGATCGGGCCTCCTGCACGCCCCTGACTGGGAATCGAGCCCGCAACCTGGGCGTGTGCCCTTGACAGAGTCGAACCCGGACCGGTTAGTCGGCAGGCTGATGCTGGATCCACGGAGCCAAACCAGCCAGGGCCATGCATTTATGAACACGAACACTCCCTTGTCTACTTGCTCCTGTGTCTCCCCCACAAGAAGGCAGCACGGGGACAGGAGCCTGGTCTTCTCTCCCTCCATCCCTGGCTCTTAGCGGGTGTCCGGCTCACGCGTGGGGAATGACACCTACTGCCCGTTACTGGTGGCACTGAGTGTGCAGGCTTCGCCCTGCGGCGTCAGACAGGCAGCCCGGGTCTGGGACAAAGCTCCAGGGAGAAGGGCCAGGCCCAGAGCCTCTCCCGGCTGTGTGCTGGGCAGCTCCCTCCCCTCTCGGAGCTCACGTTTCTTCAGGAAGAGCATCGCCCCTCACACGGGGGCTGTGCGGTGTGGAAGGGGAATGAGAGTGCAAGTGTTTGAAATTAAAAGACACAAGACAAATGCACATGACTGTGAGCTGGATTTATTGTAGCGCCTGTCGGGGACCCCAGGACACAATGCCGGGGGCATGCCCACCCCTGCTCACTTGGCAGTGACTCCCAGCACCCCTGAATGGCAGGGCACAGGGGCCAGAGTCGGTCCCACAGCTTCTGATTGGCTCACAGGCTTTTTTTTTTTTTTTCTCATTAGTTGCCAAGAAACTTAAAACCAAAATATTTTTCGTAAAAATCCGGACTTCTGGCTTCTCCAGATTACTAACACTAGGCCTGCGTTCTCACTTTACAGCAATTAGCTGCACCTTCATGACAGTCACCAACTTTGCCATAGGCCCCACCACACCCTGTTGTCTCTCGGGCCAGGTGCCATTGTCATCTTGATTGTACAAACACAGATGTGGGCAGAAGGAGGTCTGCAGTTGTTCTTGTGGGAAATAATGCAATTAATAAATAATATAAAAACAAGCTTTCACACTCACAGCTGTAAACCTACGTTTGCCCACCCCTGTATATATTTGTCACAAAGCGATGTTTCTCTGTGTCCAGTCTTCAGTAACAATGGGAAAGTCAACCTAGCATGGCAGAGGCCTCACTACCCAAAGGCCTAACTTATTCTCCTATGGTATGACCTACCCCGCCCTCAGGACAGCTGAGCCTGAGGTCTGGGAACCAGTCACAAAGAGCAGGCAGCCAGGGCGGGGATGGCAGCCACTCCACACACACCCCTTCATGAGGTGATAAGAGGCAGAACCGAGAACAGCCTGACTTTCCCAGTTTGCTCCTTTGGAGGCTTTCCAGTTCCCTGAACCCTGAGAGCACTAGGGAAGCAGGGTGGACTCACCAGGCACTGGTCTTCACTGGGTGATGTTGCCGAGGAGAGCTCGATGCAGAGAATGCTGTACTGGTGCGCCCTCTGGTGGCCATAAGGCCACCAGGAAGATTTTGAACTTTATTCCAGACAAGTGTGCCCAGGAATGTCGTCCCCCACCCTTCCCCACTAGACTCCCCACCACCCCTCAACAGCCTTCCTGGGCCCCCTGGCACTCGCTCCCGTCCCCAGCAGAGTCAGCCCCCTTCCCTGGCCTCTTCGAGGCAGAGCCCGGCCTCCATGCTTCACACCCCTGCGCCTCCCTCCAGGCTCGGCCTCGGCAGTGCTGGCAGGGAACACCCCTGCAGAGGTGGGGAAGGCTGCTCCCAGCCTGCGGGGTCCGCAGGGCAGGGCCACGTGACCAGAATGGGTCGGGCAGGGCTTCAGAGAACGGGGAGGCGCTGCCACCAAAGAGCTGTCGCAGCCCGATGGCCTTCTTCCCGCGTGGCCCGGAGAGAAAACAGGGCAGGGTGGGTCTGGGCCGGGGCTCTGCGGCTGACAGAACCAGACTGGGGGGCGGGTTTGGGTAGGGGGGAATGGTAAGCCAGTGGTTTTCAAGGTTTTGTTTATTTAAGTAGTTTGCAGCCATCATCGTGTTTGATCCTGAGAGGCAAGCACGGGAGAGAGAAGTCTCAGACTCAGACTCACTTTAGAGTCTGAGACGTTGAGGCTGAAGTGGGATCCCGGGAGGGTCAAGGTCACAGCCAAGAGAGAAGAGAGCGTGAGCTGCGTGGGGCCCGTATCTCAGGCAACAGCAGGCCCAGCGCCCGCCCCACACCCCCATGCAGAGAGGTGTGTTCCGGCCCGCGCCCGACCCCGTCCCCCGGGGAGCCTGCCCCGCAGCCACGCGGAGGCACAGCTCCTGTGCACCCCCACTCCGACACACGCCCTCCATGCACACACGTCCAGAACGGGCAGAGGCATGCGGCTTCTCTGTGGGCACACAGCACACCCACACACAGCCCCACGTGCGGCTCAGGTCCAAGCAGAAAGGCCTCCTGCAGCTGCGCCCATCACGGCGCTGTGGCAGGTCCCTGGGCAGGCCAGGCGGTAGCCGTGGCCAACGTGGCACCTTCACCAGTTGGCCTTCACTGCCTGGATGTCACTCACGAGGTTCTGGGCCAGGCAGATGCCAAAGATCTGTTCGGAGGGAAAGTGGGTGAGGGACAGGCCGTCGGGGGGGGGGGGGGGGCTGGGTAAAGGAGTGGGGGCGCCCTGCACCTGCAGGAGGGCAATGCCCACGAAGACCCCGGCCACGATGACCAGGTTGTCCTGCAGCCACTTCTCAAACTGGCCCACGCAGCCTTTCGTGTGGATGGAGCCCTGCTGCTCCAGCTCCTGGGGGCAGAGGTGTGGGCTCAGTCCCGACCCCACAGGCCTCATCTCAAACCCCACCCGTACCCTTCCCCTCCGCCCGGGGCCTCGGGCCCCCGCGCCTGCTGCCTGAGCTCTGCAACAGGCCTTGGTGTGCCTGGCTCTTGTCATCATCGGGTCTCAGCACAGACACCCACGCTCCCGACTGCCCAGCCCCACTCCAACCCCCTTATTTTACCTTCTTCCAAGCTCTCAGCTGAAATTGTCACATTACTGTTCACATTTCGGTATCAGTGGGAGCTTCCCGGCTCTCCCTCCCCTGTAGGGGGAGCTCCGTGAGAGCCGAACTCCATCTGTCTCAGGAGCATGCGTCCCCGTGTCCAGGGCAAAGCTCGGTGCCAGTGGGCGCTCAGATTGGAATGCGCGAATGCGCCTGTGCCTGTGCCCGCAGGTCTGCTGCCCCATGCTTGGCAGCACCAAGGCCTGGGTGGTTGTTAGGACTCAGCACCCCTCCCCACAGATCCCTGAGGCCCTTCAGAGGAGCTTATGGGTGCCCCTCCCAGCCCAGGCCCAGCCCGTCTCACCAGTTTGAGCCGGACGTCGTAGCCGCACTGGGTGTTGAGAACATCTTCCTGAGGAGAAACAGGCCAATGAGCCCCCTGGGAGGGGGCACCCCGGGGCCACGGCACCCAGCACTGCAATGGTGCTTGCTTCCAGGGAAGCAGATGGATGTGGATTCGGCCGCATCCAGAGGCTCTCTGAGGCCCCGGCGCCTCTGCCCAACGCCAGGCCGCACAGCCGCACCTGCCAGCGTGGGTTCTCTCCTCCTAGGCATCCTGCCTGCTCGTGTCTTACAAGAATGGGGAGAACCCTGGCCCGCAGGGTCCCAGGCGAACAGAGATGTCCCTGTGAGAAGTCTCTGCTCTGAAGATAGCCTTACAGGGGTCAGAACCCCCGTCGCTGCCACCCCAGTACGGTGGCCCAGGGGGATGGTGGCTGGTGCAGCCTGGGGGGGCCTGTCACACCCATGACTGAGGGAGTAATCCAGCCCCAGTCCCCAGACAACCTGGGCTGCATCTAACTGGGAGCACAGAGTGCCTGGAGCTGGGGGGGTGAGGGGGGAGGAAGGGAGGGCAGGCTGTGCCCAGGGGCCTGCAACTGCCATCTCACTATAATCAGAGACAGGCTTTGCTGAGGAGGCACAGCCCCCTCCAGCAGCCTCTGTGCTGCCCACGGGTACAGACTCCCAGCCTGGAAGGGGCAGCCCCCATGGAATGACCTCCTCCCACCCCCACAGCACCCAGGGCAGGGCCGCACCGGCCCTGGTGGGTTTTCCCAGGCTGGGCCTGCACTCAGCAATGCCCGCCGCCCGCCTCACCAGGGCCCACTCACCGCGGGGTCCCTCACGCAGCAGGAGAAGGGCACCCCGCAGCGCTCCCGGCTCGGGTTCAAGTCAGTGCAGTTGAAATAGATATTGAGGTTCCAGTCGTTGGGCCCTCGGGCTCCACAGCAAGACCACTAGAGGGGGAGCAGAGGGGGAAGACCCGGGTGAGCCGGACCCACCCTGTTTGGGGGCAGACCCAGGCTGCAGAGAGACAGGGCGAGGCTGGGAAGGAGTCAGAGGCAGCCAGGCAGGCGGGCACCTCCCCGCAGACGGGCCAGGGCCAGGGTCATCAGGGCAGCTCTAGGCTCCTGCTCACGCCTGACCCCTAACCCAAGGGCGGCTGAAAAAGGAAGGGGGCACGGCTGGAGTGGCGCCACTGGTTGAGCATCTAGTTTTACATGAAAGGTTGCCGGTTCTTTTCCTGTTCAGGGCACATACCTGTGTTTCAGTTTAATCCCCAGTCAGGGCACATATGGAAGGCAACCAATATCTATCTATCTCTCTCTCTCTCTCTCTCTCTCTCTCTCTCTCTCTCTCTCTCTCTCTCTCCTCAGATGAGTGAGGGTCTAAAACAAAACGAAACAGGAAGGGATGGGGCAAGGATGTTGGCCCAAGAACCGAGACTTCCTGCAGGACACCCCGAGAATGGGCGCTGGGCCAAGCCCTGTGGGGAGAGGCTCCACTGAATATGTCTCCGCCAGGCCCCCCCATACTCGCCCAGAGATTTTCCTCCTACAAGGACAGGAGGGCCATCCTCCCACACCCATAACCCTCCTGTTGCACTTCATAAATGCTGCCGCCAGCACCATATCCCCTTCTCCCCCACCCAGAACATCGTGGGCTGCTGCCTCCCTAGGTGAGTCAATGGCAAGTGTGGGTACAGCCTGCCTCCGCCTGCCTCTTCTCCTTCTGCCTAGCACCTGCTGCTCCTGCTGGGGAACACTCACCCCTCCCGTCACATCCCTGATCCCTCTCTTCCTCCAACGTCCCCCCCAGAGGCCTTCCCCTCTCCACCCTTCCCCATTTCAACCCTTACCACAATTTATAATTTTGCGCACACACACACACACACACACACACACACACACACGTACGTTTGTTTGCTTTGCTTATGCATCCTCCATCTCTCCACCCAGACTGCCATCCCCAAGGACAGGTCCCCACTTTTTTCACCCCAGACTCCCAGCACCCAGCCCTGGGCCTGGCACACATCATGTCCAGGATGATGATTCCATGCTGAATGAGCAAACAAACCACATCCTAACCGCCTAGCCACCTGTCTGCCTCGCCCTGGGTTGAGAGTGCCTCAAAGCAGACAGCAGCTCTGGTTCATCTCTGTGTCCCAGCACTGTGAGTGGGCGAGAACTCGTAGGTGTGAGGTGTCTAGGATTTCGTGAACTGTTCACTCACTATTTCTTCACAGGGGTAGGTGTATAAGCTTGAGGGCGGGGCCTCTGTATAGAGTCTCAAACTACAGTAATATGTGCAGAGGCCAAACAAGTAATATTAATGAGAGAAGAAGCTGAAACCGGTTTGGCTCAGTGGATAGAGCGTCAGCCTGCGGACTGAAAGGTCCCAGGTTCAATTCTGGTCAAGGGCATGTACCTTGGTTGCAGGCACATCCTCAGTAGGGGGTGTTCAAGAGGCAGCTGATTGATGTTTCTCTCTCATCGATATTTCTAACTCTCTATCCCTCTCTCCTCCTCTCTGTAAAAAAAATCAATAAAATATATGTGTTTGTTTGTTTTTAAATCAATAAAATATATGTGTTTTTTTAAAAAGTGCTCCTGAGCTGCTAAATGAAAAAATGCAGGTTATAAATAATTATTTTTTTAAAAATGAGAGAAGACGACGGACATGCACAGTGAAATACAGGGTGTCAGGGACAGTGGCAAATAGAAAACCCCTGTTTCCGCCCCAGCCGATCCTGTGGGCCCAGGGTTTCCTAGAAGGGGAATCTATATTTTCATTCCCACTTGAAGCGTGATATAAGCCTAGCCTTTGGAACCTCAGGCCTCTAGTCTCCAACCCTGTTTCCCTGCAGGACCAGGCACATGGGGACGCACAGGGGATCACCAAGGACTGGCTTCCTCTCAGAAGGGAGCACTAACTGCTGGATCTCTGCCTGGGGCCTGCCTGGCATGGGGGGCGAGGGGCTGGTCCCAGCACACAGGGAACGTGCTCCCACTCATCGGTCCACCCAAAGAAGAGGGTGGTCTAGGTGGCGGGCCCGTGCTGGACACTGGACTCACATATTCCTGAGCAAAGTCAATGAGGTTCTGGAGGTCAATGTCGTCCCGATAGGCCTTGACGTTGTTGTTGATGAAGAGGTTGAGCTGGTCTCGTATCCAGTCCTTGAAGACGAAGACCAGGATCCCTGTCGCGAGCTCCAGGAAGAAGATGAGGCCAAGGAACACTGAAAACTGGGGGTGGGCACATACAGATGGCGGGGGTCGGAGACGCAGGGCCTGGTGGGTGCCCAGAGCCCCCACCTTCTATCCCGTTCGTGGTGTTTGATGTGAAGACAGTGCTGGCCTTACCTACCAATTATCTCACTTCCTCCCGTAATCACCTGTTTTGCTTTGTTTTGTTTTGTTTTTGGGAAACCACCCTTCACAGCACCTTCAGTTTCTGTGGCTTGGCTGCAGTCATCACTTTTCCAGGCAGAGGACTGCACATGTGCCAACAGCTCACCAATCAGAGCGCTACTTCCCCGAGGCCACAGGGATTGGTCCAGACACAGCCAATCAGAATCAAGGAGATGTAATTAAAGAACTGGACAGAGTGGTTAAGAAGAGCCTGCGCCTCCAGTAGGAGCTCCTAGGAGGGCGGCGAGAAGCCCGTACCCACAGATCCTGGGCATCCTTCAACCCCACGGGCAATGGAGCTAACCTAAGGGACAGAGCCAAGAAACAGGCCAGACCAAGTGACCCCAATGTGCCAGCAGCCAGCACACCCCCGGGCTTCTCTTGGTGAGCCAATAAATACCACTGGTGTTCAGTAATTTACAACAGAAAGGATCCTTAGATAGATAACACGAACCTGATACTTATTGTTATAACATAATAAAACTACCCATTCTTGAGCACAAAAATGCATGTAAGAAGTGGGTGGGAGAAAGTTGGGGTCCCCAGTGGATCGAGGCGAGGGGCACTCACAAACTTGAGCAGGAAGGTGTTCTCCCGGAGGGCCCCGATGCAGCCAGCAAAACCCAGCACCGACATGATGCCTCCAACCACCACGAACAGCCACACGGGGTCCAGGCCGCCCAGATCTGTCAGCGCCGAGATGTTGGAGAGAACGCCCTGTGTCGGGGGAGCAGAGGCAGGTTGGGATACGGGACCCCTCCCCCACCAATCATTTCGACCTGCTGCCGCCCCAAGCCCTACCCTGCCTCCTCACCTTCTCACCCCAGGCCCAGAGGCCAATGGCCAGGAACAGGGCTCCCAGCACCTGCAAGAGCAGAAGCGAAGAGCTGAGAGCTGGGCACCAGCCTCCTGCTCCCCAAACAGAGCCTCTTCCCCCAGCGCTCAGGGTTTCCAGGGGGTGAGAACGGAAGAGGGCCGAAACCGGTCTGGCTCAGTGGTAGAGCGTCGGTCTTTGGACTGAAAGATCCCAGGTTCGATTTTCGATTCCGGTCAAGGGCATGTACATTGGTTGCGGGCACATCCCCAGTAGGGGGTGTGCAAGAGGCAGCTGGTCGATGTAAGCTGCCTCTCATCGACGTTTCTAGCTCTCTATCCCTCTCTCCTCCTCTCTATAAAAAATCAATAAAATATATATATATATTTTTTAAAGAGAGAGGGAGAAAGGAAGAGGGCTCTAAATGGGATCCAGGGTCCTTGACATCTTCCCAAGAACACACCTTAGTGCTTCTTCCCAACAGCACGCAGCCGGGAAGACTGAGCACGCCTGGCCTTAGAGAGGACAGCAGGGCCCCTGCCTGGACCTCAGAGCGGGAACAGGGGGCAATCCGCAGCAGTGCCTGCGCCTCTGCTCCTGCTCCAGCCCATGCTGGGCTCCAGGGCTCCTGGCCTCTGCCCCTCCCAAGTCCAGCCCTCTTAGCACAGGCCCACCACCTTTGCACCATTCCAATGTCTGTCTGCCAGAGGCCATTTCCCGCCAGGTTCTATCCTCAGAGCTCAAAACCAAAGCCCCTGCACGACCAGGAATCCAGATGCAGAGCAGGACCCGGCTGAGGGGCCCCCATCCAGGCCAGCAGCTGCATCCTGGAAAACAGGTGGCCACAGCTCTGCTTGGGCCTTCTGAACACCACCAGCCATCCTGCCTCAGTTCCTTACTGGCAAGAGACCTGGCTGTCAGGGCCACTGCCTGACCCTGAGCAGATACCTGACCACCCATCACCTCCAGCCCAAGCCCAGGGCCACGAGCCCACGCTGACCACCACTCCACCACCCCCACTCCTGCTTTCTCTTCAGGCTCCTTCCCCTCCGCACCTAGCTGGTCAACTCCATCTTTAATGCCTTCCCCCCTCTGATCCCAGGTTCCTCCCACTGCTGTCCTCTTTCTTTGGAAATGTCTTTCCTTCCCTCCCCGACCCTGGATCCGGGATGTGAAACCCAACATCATCACTTCTCCTGCCTCAGCCCACTTGACCCGCCCACAGCCTGTAGACAGGCTACCACCACGACTGTCTCCTTCCCAAACTCTCCGCGTTACCTCCCTGCCATTCTCCCGCCTGCCCCTTCCCAACCTCCCTCGCACCCTCTGCTCATGGCCAGGCCCGCCCCCATCAGTCCCAACCTCAGCCCTCTGCTTCTTCCTTTTCTCGCTCAGTTCCCACCCTTCCATGGCACTGCCATCTCTAGGATTGCGGCCCAGGCCTCTCCCTCACTCCAGACACGTGCTGCAAATACTGCCATGTCCCAGGCTCGGTTCCGGGTGCCGGGAACACCTCACTGAATAGGACAGCCCTCGTGGACTGAGGCTTCAGTGGGGAAACCCACAGTGAGTGAACAAGGTAATTTCCGGTAAGCAGACCCTTTAAAGAAAATCAAACAGGACGACGCGGTGGGGAGTGATTAGGGGTGGGTGGGGGTGAGCTGTAGTTAGGGAAAGTAGTGACATTTCCGCTGAGGTTTACATGATAAAAGGTACAGAGAGGAGAAAAGAATCCCAGGAGGAGGCACCGGCAAAGGCAAAGGACTGAGGGAAGGTCAGTTGGGCGGTGGAAGGAACAAGCTGAAGGAAGCAGGGCCAGACTGCAGAGGGGCTGACGGCCATGGGGAGGAATCTGGACTGCTTTCTGAGAGAAACCACTGGAGGGTTATGAATGAGCAGGGTAACGCCGGGATTTGCTTTCCATTAAAACAAAACAAAAAATCTGGACCTGTTTCAGAGGCACCTCCCTTAGGCCTCCATGACCCAAATCTGAAACCTTCCCTTTACCCTTCCCCTACGTCCCCTGGTCCCATGGATCCAGCCTTATCACTTCCCCCACCCCCCACGGCCACCCCAACTTTACCCCAGCCCTCCTTCCTCATCTCCCCTCCTCCAACTCGTCCCTCACTCACCCTGCCCAAGGCAGCCAGACAGACCTGCCTCAAACAAACCCATCACCAGCACTGAAGCCCTCACAGCTCCACACTGCCCTTCCTATTGTGCCCCAAGCCCAGGACCCTGAACAAGCCTGCGTTTCTCTTGTCTGCCCCCCACCCCCTCACCCCTGGCATTTGAGGGCTCCCTCTGCTCAAAGCTCGGCCTCACCTCCAGTCACTGCATGACCCTCTAGGCTGTCACCTGGGCTCTGCACTCACTGGCTGTGTGTCTCTGGGTTAATGACTTAACCTCTCTGTGCCTGTTACCTCATATATGAAATGCAGACGATAATAAGAATACAGGAAACTATAATTCATTTGACATGCCCAACCCTGGGGGCAGGCTTCAGGACCACCCCTCCCTGGCAGGGAAGCAGAAGCCCAGAGAGAAGGGACTTGCCCACAGTCTCACAGCTAGGCAGGCCTCCAGGGAAGTCTGTACACATCCCACACCCTCCGGGAGCCGACACTGCTGGAGCCAAAGGACACCCACATGCGGGTGACTGCATGGATGCGAGTGGGCAGAGGGCTGTGCCACTGAGTCCCACTGCACAAAGCTGAATGGGCCTGGCATTTTGACCAAGGCAGCAGAAGCAGAGACTGCAGAGGCAGCAAGCGGCCCTGGGGAGATGAGATGGGGGAGAAGGAAGAGATGACTTGGCAGGGCCCAGGGGCACAGATGTCACCCTGGGAGGGGCACCAGCAGCTCCCTCCTCAGGCCAGGGGCAGCCCTACCCCGGAGCCTCGGTTTGGTCAGCTCTGGAATGTAGAATTCTGTTCCCCAGGGCCAGCTCCCAGCCACTCAATAGGAAGATCCTCCCCAGGACTCTGACTATTGGCCCTTCCTCGGAAAACGTCCCGGGAAGGCTCTGACCCAGCCCCCTTTGCCAGAGCTGAAGGGGAGGTACCAGGCCAGGTGCTGGGGGGGGAGGGGGGGGAAGAGGGGTAAGGGGGCAGGAAATGAGACCCTGCCCTTCCCTGCTCTGCAGACTCTTCCCTAAATCAGAGGCTCAGTGTGCACCCCACACCCCAGGGTGTGGAAGTGAGCTGGGCAGGAGGGAGGGCCACTCGGACCACACAGTCCCTGAGGTCTTCAAGAAAGCACTGCCCCCTCTCCGCCAGCCCCGAAGGCTCCCGGTCCCCACACCGCTGGGACCGCCCCCTGCAATCAGGGCTTCCCCAGTTCCCTCCGGCGCTCTCGGGGGCTGGCGGGCAGCGAGGAGCGGGGAGACCGTCCTGAGCCCTGGGGCAGGGAGGGGTCTCCCCTCCGTAGAAGACTGAACCTCCCCCCGCCGCCCCCGCCCCGCGCTCACCCAGAAGACAATGTTGAAGCCAAACAGGAAGTATTTCCCGCAGCAGCCGACCCCCGGTTCCTGGAAGTGCTGGTGCTTGCCGGGCATCGTGAGCGCGCCGCCGGCCGCGACCCGGAGCCCGGAGCCCGGAGCCGGGGACGGGCCCAGCCCGCCGCGGGCAGCCCTGGCTGGAGCCGCCCGGGGCCTAGCCCGGCGGCTGTGGCTTCATGGCCAAGGCCACCCCGAGCCCCGCCCGCCCCGCAGGGACCGCCCCCGGCGCCGGGACCGCCCTGCTGGGAGCGCTGGTACCCTCACCCCGCGGCCGCCTGGCTCCGCCCCGCCTGGCTCCGCCTCCTGATTGGCTCCACCTCCTGATTGGCTCCGCCCCTCCTGGTTCCGCCCTTTTGTTGGCTCCGCCCCGCCCCAGTCCTCTCCGAGCCCCGCTCCGCCTGGCCCAGGCTCCAGACACCGCCCCTTACCTCTCCTCTCTCCCCCTCCCTCTCCCCTTCTCCCCTTCTCCCCTCTCCCCCGGGCTTGGCTGCTCACGCCCTCCGCCGCGGAGAGCGCGGGGCTCCTTCAGTCCCCTCCTGAGATGTTCGATGATGGCAGCACAAGCCGCGAGCAGGAAGGACCCACAGTCACCCCCACCCCGCAGGGCCAGTTCCCGCGCCCCCCAACCCCCGGCCTTGCTGCGGGTGCTCATCTTGGAGAGAAGTCACTGCTGCGATGGTGAGCAGATGGCGATGGAGACTCGACTGGAGTTCTCGACGCCCGTGCAGGGCGTTTAGGACAGGGAGTCCGCCCTGACACTCGGTCGCCCACCGGAGTGTTAGCCCTACCTCCCCCGGCTCGCACGTGGCTAGACCGCGCCCAGGTCCCGTGAATGGGGAGTCGGCTGGTCGCTGCGTACACCCCACCCCCTGGCTCAGACCCTTTTGGCTCTTGGAACCCCAGTCTTATCCCTCTTCCCCAGCCCAGCATGGGCTCCTTGGTGAGTCTCCCACGAGCGCCTTCCAGGGAGGACTGGAGCAGACCGAGGTTTGGGAGGGACTGGATCATAATGTTAGAGCACTCCTTAAAAAAAAAAATCATTCCACTTTTGCTCAAAGGAGTGCATTTATTTAGAATAGGAACAGAAAGGAGCTTGAGCTCCATCAAGTTTATCCACCTCCAGTAGCAGAACGCAGTGAGGTCTGACCAGCCTCCTCCTCTCGTGGGCGGGGCCTCGCCCACCCATCTTCACTTCACCTCCGCCCCGAGCCAGAGAACGCCCAAACCCCCTGGCCACAAGGGAGAGAAAAAGGGAGCCGTCTCCCTCCTCAGCTCCCTCTGCGAGATGATGGGGTTCTGCCTCTAAGCCTCCAGCCTCTGGAGTGAGGGTACAGCCAAAGAAGAGGGTGGTCTAGGAGGGGCTTCAAGCCTACAAATCTGATGGGAGAAAGTCCACCAAGGTTTCCCAGCACAGCGATCCCCAGTGGTGCTAGCTCAGAGTGGCAGTAGGCTTGAGCTTCTCCCCTGAACAGAAGGCCTCCCTAGCCCCCTTTCCAGGTAGGCACAGGGTCAGTACTGGGTCACAGACTGCTCCTGTCCTCTTTCCACCTTCGGTTGGGCCCTCCTTCCCCATAACTCACCCCACCCCACCTCTGGGCGACACAAGGATACCCAGGGATTCCCGCCTCCTTTCCACTGCCCTGGTCCTCAGCCTGCCCTCCACCACCTCCACCCACAGAGCAGCCCCTGGACCCGGGTCCCAACGCATGTTAAAGCATGTTCATATTAACTCCCCAACAGGTGAGAACCAGCCCTCGGCCTTCGCCCCCGGTCCTGCCGGGACACACATGCACGCAGCAGTGAGAGGCTCAGGGGTGGCTGAATGGTTCCAGCTGAGCTCAGCCCCTTGCCTAGGCCCTCTCACACCACAAACTTGTTCTTGGCCAGGATGTTGCTCTTAGTAGCTGTGTCTGCATGGGCCTGGTACCCAATGATGGTCTTTGTCGAGAGTCCCAAGCGCTCTTTGTAGACCCGCCTGGGATGGGAATGGGGGTAAGTGGGAGAGGAAGAGACAGGCAATCAGCAGCAGCCCTGGAGATAAGCTGGTCCTCTGCCCACAGCTCCTACCCTGGTTCCAGCCACAGACACTCCCATTTTGGGTGCTTTAGTCATATGGAAACCCAAAATAAGACTAATGCAAAGGAAGAGTTCTGCTAGAAAGAGTTTGGCATTTAGGTTCCCAAACCCTTAACACAGATGGGTAAGGCAGAGGGGTAAAAGGCAGGGAGCGTTCCAGAGGTCTCCCTTGTAGGCCAAGTCCTCACTCACATGTCACTTTCTCCCCTAAAAGAGGCCCAGTCCCCTCACCCCCATGCCAGCACCCTCACCCGATGGAGAGCACGCCCGTCTGGTTCTCTGCCTCCCGGGTCCACACTGCGATCTTGTCCCCCTTGGCTCGGATGTTGATGACCGCCCCACACACCTCCTGGCTGTACTCTTCAAAGCTCTCCCCAATAAGGCACAGCAGCTGGGGCCAAATTGGGGGGGGGGGGTGATGAGGCCTCCAGCTGTGGCACAGGGACTGCACTCGCCATCCTTGAGACCACAGGTACCATACCAGCCCTGCCCCCTCTTTTGGGGGACCCTCCCCACCAGCCCCTCCACTCACTGTCTCCAACCACAGGCGGTCCAGCTCAGTGTGGCGCTGCTGTTTGGCAAGGCTGACCAGCCAGCGGCCACCCCGCTTATTCCTGGCGTCTTCCCACATGGGCTCGATGCCATCCTGGGAGACCAGATGGCAAGTCAACTGCCTCCCTCTGTTCAAAGGGAAGTGGGGGCCCAGCCACCTCCCCCAGTCCTGCCCCTGCCCCGCAGGAGGTCTCCACAGGCTGGGTTCTGTCATGCCTCCATCCCCTCTGTTCAGGCAAGTGCCACCACCGGCCATTCAACCCCCCCCCCCCCCGAGCCTTCTCCTCCGAGCTCCCCCAGGCTCAAGGGCCCTAATGTGTGTCATCTTTTATAGCCTTGCACGTGTGTGTGCCTGTCTCCTTTCCTGAACTGAGCTCCTGAAGACAGGAGTTCAAATGGGGGTGATTCACAGAGCCTCTGGGCCATGCCCCACATCTCAAGCTCACCTGGGCACAAGGTCACCTGGGAAATCTTGAAACACTGATGCCAGGGTCCCATTACACACATCTGCTGGGTGGGCAGCCCCAGGGATTAGCCTGGACCTTGACGATCAGTGCCCGTGACCAATGCTGACACCTATTCCTAGTTAAAGAGCCAGGCCAGAAACCCGGGCTCCGTCTTTGTATCCCCACTTTCCAGACTCTTCAATGGTCTTCAAGGCGCAGCGCAGGGCTGACATCTTGTCCCAGCTCCTCTACAGCATCTCCTCCTCCTGGCTCTGAGGGAGGCTGTCCTCAGACTCCACCCCGCACCCCCTGGGAGGGAGTAGTCCTGGGGAAAATCCGCCCCCTGTGCCTGGGGGCAGGGAGGCAGCGCTTACCTTGAACAGGGCATAGTCACAGCCGGAAGAGAGCTTACTGGCCAGCTGGATGTGACTGTAAATCCTAGAGAGAGTCCCCGGCCCCAGGCTGAATGTCCAGGCTTCTTAAGGGCTTGGTTCCAGCTGAGCTCAGCCCCTCGCCTTCTCACCAGACCCCACCCTGCTTCCCGCCAACCTGCCAACCTCCAAGCCTTTGCTCACCCTGGGGCTCCGGCCTGGAATTCCATCCTTACTCACCCTCACCTTCAAACCCCACGTCCTCCCCGGCCTCCCCTGGCCACCCATGCCCAGTGCCACGTTTGTTGTCAGTGCCCCTCGGGCTGGAGCCCAGGCCTTCGCCCAGACCCCTAGGCGTATTACAGCCCCTTCCCGGTCCCCTCACTTGGCTCTCCCAGACACTCTGAGGCAGCCTGCTCCTCACTGTGTGGTTGAGACAAGCTCTGAGAGGGGCGGGAACTTGCCCAGGGCCACGAATCATGAAGCAGCAGAGTCAGGGTCAGCCCCCTGTTTTCTCCCACGCTTTCTCCCTAAACCCCAAGGTTTCCCCAGGCCTGTGCCCCCTGAAGAATCCACTAAGCCCAGCCCTCACTAACGCGGCCAGGCCCCAGGGAGGACTGGGGGAGCTGTATGGAAAGCAGCCCCCAGAGGGCTGGGGTCTGGGAAGGATCCTGAGCTCAGGGTCCCCTGGCCCCAGCCTTTTCCGTAAAGGGCAGGCAGACACTCACGCCCAGAAGTCCTCCACGGTGTCAAACTTGGTGACCAGCTGCAGGTTATCCTGCCAGGCCCGGCTGCGGTCATTCTTGAAGAACCACAGGGCCCACCTGGAAGCAGAGAGCCCTTGTGCCCTTCCTGGCAGCAGCTGGGCTGGCAGGGAAGTCTCACCCTTTCAAGGACAAACTGGGGGACATTTGGGGTGCAGACCCCCCCCCCCAGATGTCTGGAGTCAGTTACCCTGGTGGGGCAGAGGGCCGAGGAGAAGTGGAGGCGCTGAACTCAGAGTCCCAGTGGGGTTACGGCTGGAAGGAACACAGGGCCCACGTCGTAGGCCAGCTCTGGCCTTGCCCTTGAGAACTGGGGCTGAGGGAGGAAGGGGTTGTCCAGAGTGGGCCCTACCTGTTCTGCAGAAGGTGCAACTGCTGTGTGGCCTCCACTGGGCCTGCACTGCGGGCCTTCCCCCGCAGGGACAGCAGAGTTGAGGGAGAGTTTGGAGCCTCCTCTCTCATGGATGCTCCCGCTGCTGCTGCTGCCGCTGCCTCTCCTTCCTCTTCACCCTCAGCCTCTCTGACCTGACAGAGAAAGGAGCCAGGGTGGCTGTGAATTCTGGCCCTGGCGGCCCAGGCTGCAGGAGGGGCAGGCAGGTGGGCTTACAAGGCTGCTGGTAGCCATGCTGAAGCAGTTTGGGCTCCTCCACAGAACAGCCAAGAGGGACCCCCAGCTGCCAGCTTTTAACCCATCAGCGTGCCCTGCCCCTGAGTGCTCAGGGCAGGGGAAGGGGTGGAGCCAGCAAGGAGCTGCTCAGAGGGAGTGGGGCTTACCCTATTCCTTCTACCAACAGCCTTTAGCAAGCACTTTCTGCCTGCAGCCTGGGGCTGCGGGACAGGTGTGACCAGGTAGGCTCCACCCCACCCACATCGTGAGACAGGAAGGTAAGGGTCAATATTAGGGAGCTGCCCTTAACAACACCGAATCCCACCGAGGGTGGGATTTGAATTTAAAGCAGACTGACCCAGCTGTTACCAGTTTGGTTCAGTGGATAGAGCATCGGCCTTTGGACTGAAAGGTCCCAGGTTCGATTCCGGTCAGAGCATGTATCTTGGTTGCGGGCACATACCCTGTAGGGAGTGTGTTGAAGGCAGCTGATCGATGTTTCTAACTCTCTTTCCCTTTTCCTTTCTCTCTGTAAAAAATCAATAAAGTTTATATTTAAAATAATAATAAATAAATAAGGCAGACTGTTCCAGAGATGGCAGAAGCAGTGACTGACATAGCTGGAGCGAGGCCAGGTCAGAGACCTGGTATAATACATGCATTGAGGCATCCCCTTGTTTCTCTCTGCTGCCATTCACCTCCTCGAGTGGCCACCGATGCCATCTGACACAAGCATTCATCTGGTCTCAGGAAGCATCTGAGTTTATGTTAAATATAATCATTCAGAAACCGGGAGATTGTATTAAAAATCCACATTTTTGGTTTCTCTTGAAGATGTGGGAAGGTCTGGCAACACTAGGGCCTCTACCTCGCAGATCCACAATCTGCTGCAGCTGAGGCTGCCCTTTGGCGGAACAAATGAGGTTGCACATGGCCCCACCAGCTAACTACACTCCTGGCCTATTCCAGTATAGCCCACCTGGGCATGGATGGCAAGGGGTAGTGCCACACAATCGAGGTTCAAGTCCTCCCTACCCTGACCTCTACCAAAGCAGATTTTAAAGGTTCTCCTCAAGTTTCTTTCCTTCCCCCTGCCTACTTTTAGGGGCCCAGATCTCTAAGGGGACCAATCCCTTCCCCTTCCCCCACAGCGAGGGAAGCCCATGACCACCTGGAGGCTGACAGGCTATATGTTTTCAGCCCCCATCCCCTAATGTATGTGACAGGCATGGGGTTATGTGCTGGGAGGTGGTGAGTGCAAACTGGGTGACCCCTGTTCTCTGATCTTCCAGGGAGCCAGACATCAGATAATCTCCCCAAGATCACCTTTCTAATCACTAATGCAGACCTTTGAAGGAAAGGAATTGCAGGTGGAGAAAATAGTCCACCACCTGACCTGGGCTTTAGAGCAGTTCTAAAGTGCCTGGGCCAGAATCACCTGCAGGGCTTGATAAACAGACCACATTTTGAGAACCACTAGCTCAGAGGTAGCTCACTGGAGAGGTAACGTTTGAGCCAAGAGCTAAAGTATGAATGAGAGTTAACTAGGTAGTGTAGGAGGGCATCTTAGGGGTGAAGCAGCATGCAAAAGGCTCTGGGGTAAAGGGAACATGGGTACTGGGAGATGAGAAGAAAGAACAGTGTGGTGAAGCCCAAAGGAGGAAGGGTGGTAAGTCTTGATCCCAGGAACGTGGAGAGCATCGCCGAGTGCTTAAGTTGGGACAGATAACCTGGGCAGGTAATCAAAGGGGCTTTCCAACAAGTTCTCTGTAGAAACACAAAAACACTCTCTGCAGCAAGAATGGGAGGAGATTTATGAGGCTGCTAACATAGTTTTCCAGGTGGCAGGGAAGATGGAGAGAACATGGATTTCAGAGATATTTAGAAGGCAGACTCAGAGGCGTTTAGTGATGGACAGGCTCTGGACAGGTGAGGCATGGTGTCCCAGCTACCTGTTGCTGCACAATAAACCACCCAGACTTAGTGGCTTAAAGCAATAATGGTTTCTTTCACTCACAGATCTGCAGTTTGGGTAGCCCTCAGTAGGGATCGTGCATCTCTGTTCCAAAGCATTATCAGTTGGAGTGGCTTACAGGCTGGGGCTGGAATCATCTGCTCACTCCCAGTGGGGCAGCTGGTGCTGGCTGTTCACTGGAACCTCAGCTGAGGGTGTCTGCTAGGACAGCTCTAGTGGCCTCTCCCTGTGGCTGCGTCCTTTCCTCACACTGGCCAGGTTCCCAGAGTGAGAGTCCAGAGAGATGGGAAGCAGAAGCTACTAGTTTCTTAAAGCCTGGGCCAAAAACTGGCACAGCCTCAGATCCATGGTATTTGGGTCCTAGGGCCCACATTCAAGGATGATGACATAATCCTTAGGAGGAGTATGACATAATTCACTGGGAGGAGTGTCAAAAAATTTTGAACAGAGGAAGTACTGGAAGAAGGCCAGGAAACCTGTTATTTCCCTCTATCAATTTGGTAAAGTATACTCTTATAAGCAATATTGAAGAATTTATATTTTTCTCCCTACCTAATCCCTCCAGAAGTTGGCAGCTCTTAATGAATATTATTATTTTCTTAGCAGTATGTTTGTTTGCATAAATTCAATAGGAGTCTGGTATCTTTATAATAGGACACATAAAGCCAGTTTCCAATTGTAGTTTTATCAACCAAGACTTTGATTGGAATGTCATGCTGGAGAGAGACATGCCTAGATTCTGGATGTCACCAGAAAGCTTTAAGGAATTAAGATTGACTTTGAAGCTGATAAAATCCCCTTGGAGTAATGGCTAAAGACTAAAGCTCAATCTGGAGATTCCTTACAAGATTCTACCAAAGCAGATTTTAAAATGCCTATATGATCAATTATTATTCTTGTTGTGTTTATGCAAATGATCAGGCCAAATTGAAACTGGACTTAATGCAGTAAATAGTCTTGAGTTGACTGGCTTTGTTTTTTTGTTGTTTTTTTAAAGAGGGTGATTTTAGCAGGGGAGAGAGGGGATTGTGTTTTAATAGAATCTATTGAAGCCAGGGAAAGGAGATATTAAATTCTAGTTAAACTTTTGGATATTAGACTCTAGTTAAAGTTTTACTTTTCACCTACAAACTGAATTAGATCCTGAATTTTTCTAGTTTTCTTAAGTATACGGCTGCAACTCTCCAAACTAATGTTTCCTTTTTCTCCCATCATTTGATTTGGAATTATTGAGAACCACTGATGCAGGGTAAACCGTACAAAATTTACTTGAGCACCTGGTGGTGTTCAAACCGCAGGTAAGGAGGATCTCTCAGACTTAACAGTTTGCTTTCATTCCAGCAAAAGAATCTTTGAGCCTTACATCTAAAAGTCTTCTTAACAGATAGCCTTACAAGCTGAGAAACTAGCTTATCATTTACTCTGATCATTAACCTTTGTTTCTTCTCTTCTGTTTTCTTGGGCATACCCCTATGGAACACCTGATTGCTTGTTTACACAATATAGGCCTCCCTTTGGGAAGCCATCTGCAACACTGCCTCCTAAAATGAGATTTAGCAATTTAACTGAACTGACTTTTTTTCCCCAGAACTAAATGACTGAGTCAATGAAATATGAAGCAATCTACCAACTTCACTTTATATAAACCTTTATTATTTAAAAGGGTGGGTCTGCAGGAACCAGAGTTCTGCCACCTATCCTGCCCAAGAGGTACAGAAGAAAAAAAATAAACTTAACATCAGAAAAAAGATCTTAAGGTGTTTCCTTTATCAAATTTAAATTAAAAATAGTGAAAAAGGGCTTCAGGCAGGTGCCACGCCTTCATCCAGGGAAGCCTGTCCACCAACCCTGTAAAGTTGGTCCCTCCCTCTATCACCTGGTTCTTACCTCTCCTCAGATCTTAAATAATTATAATTCTCCTTCTCATTCTCAGGCCATGCCTTTTCACTTTCTTGTCAAATTTGTCACCTCTAGGATATAATTCCATATCAAGATGATGATGCTTCATGGATTCAGCCTATGTCTACTTCAGAAGAATCAGCTAATAGCCTCCTGTTCCAGTTGTGGATCCCATCCCCTTGTCTCCCTTAGATCATGCATAGAGACACTTCCATACCATCTATAGGCAGGTACCACAGCCTTGTCAGCAGGAAGCAGTTACTAAGACAGATCATCCTCCCTTTCACCCCTAAAAAAAAATTCAGGGATGGCCTAACTGGTCTGGCTTTGTGGATAGAGCGTTGGCCTGTGGACTGAAGGGTCCCAGTCAAGGGACCCTTCAAGGGTCCAGTCAAGGGCATGTACCTTGGTTATGAGCCCATCCCCAGTTGGAGATGTGCAAGAGGCAGCTGATCCATGTTTCTAACTCTTTCCCTCTCCCTTCCTCTCTGTAAAAAATAAAATATATATATATATTTTTTTTAATTTAATTTTATTTTTTTTTAATTCAGGGATGGAAGTGTCTGAGACATGCCAGTAAGCCAGGACCCTGAAATAGGGAAACCGAGATAGATAGTTAAATGGTTGAGCAGTTTAGAGCCATTAAGTAAATTGAAAAATCCTATCTTCTGTAAACAAGACACTTAAGGGTAAATGGTTACACTTCTCCTCCCCAACCAGAGGATAAATAGCAGAAATCCAACGGTGTACTAGGCTAGCTTGGACCAGCTTGTGAGAACAAATATTAAAATTTTAGGAATTTTATTTGCCATTTATAAAAGCCACACCCTGGCTTCATTGGTTGAGCATCATCCTGTGAATCAAAAGGTTGTAGGATTCCCAGTCAAGAGCACATTGGGGGGTAGGGGGGGTGGTGTGCAGGAGGCAGCCAATCTTCACTCTCACATTGATGTTCCTCTCTGTTCCTCTCCTTTCCTCTCTATCTAAAAACAATAAACTATTCTTTGAAATCCATTATTAAAAATTAAATAATGTAAACTTTTAATTTTATAAATTATGTTAAAAACATATAATAAGCATATAAAACAAGTATAGCATAATAAAAACAAGTTTATAATTATTTTACCATTATCTATGCTCTTAAGATCATTTTAAAATCTATTTTATCTGATGGTGGAAATACAGTATACCTCTTCCCAATTCTCTGTTCAGTGACACCACATTGAAAGCTTGAAATTAATCATGGTGGGAGAATTTACACCATGGGTATCAGCAAACTACAGTTCAAGATACTCCCCTCTTTGGATAGCCGTGTGTTAAAATGTTCTTGTACACCATGGCCCAGATCTACACCTGCAGCCAGCTTGAAGTGAATGCCCGAGCTCCGGGCTCAGGTAGCCTGCTGCTGCTGGACACCTCCTCTAGTTTGTCCACCAGGCACCGCACATTTGGCATGGCCCAAACAAGCTCATCACTCCCCCAACCTCCAATACTGCTCCACCCCCTCAATATCTGTTTCATTTTGCAGCAGCATTAATCACCCTTATGCCCAAGCCAGAAGCTGGGAATCTTCCTAGACTGGTCCCTCTCCCTCTTCCCCAGAGCCTGATAAGTTACCTCCTGAATGATACCCAAATCTCACACACACACACACACACACTGGCTTTGTCATCCTTCCTGTGGGTTCTGCCTCATCCTCTTCCCTGATCTTGCTGCTTCTAGCCATGTCCCCCTCCAACCGACCCTGATTTGGCTCTAAAAAATGCAGATCTCGTGTAGGTCTCTCTTGTGCTTAAAATCCTACAGTGACTCCCAGTTCCAGAAGCACAGACACCTTTCCTCTGGTCTCCTTCCTCTCTTCCTCCTCTCCTCTCTCCTGCTGGGTCCTTCCTCATCACATACTCAGACATTCGTGAATCACAGAAATCACTCTGGCTAATTTAAGCAGGTAAGTTTATTAGCCAATACTGGGCAGCTCAGACACTCTCTGGGAAGGCCAGAGAACTCTCCCTGGAGACCACACAGCCTGGAAGGATGCCCCAGCCCACACTGCCAAGCAGGCCCAGGAAGACTCCCCTGACGTGCTGGCTGGGCACAGACAGTGCAGCTTGGGCTGCCATGCTGGGTGCCCCCAGAAGCAGTGTCACTGCTGCTGGTAGTCCCTGGCAGGAGCTGCCACCACCACCACCACCACCACCACCACCACCTGTCCTCACAGACCAGACTCCCTCACTCCCCGTTGCTCTGGCACCAGCTTCAGATTCAGAGTCTGGGGTCGGGTGTCTGGGGCTGAGGTCACATGCAGGTCCTGGCTACAAGGAAGGCTGGGAAAGCAGTGAAGGTGCCTAAAGGAGGAGGTCGGCTCTGCCTCATAAAGTGGGGATTCCCCAGACAGGGGAAGGAGGCAATTTTAATGCTGAGAGGCCAATGATAATGATAGGTATCCCCTGTGCTAGCTCTTACAATTATACAAGTGAAATACTATTCCAGGTAAAATAATCAAAGGTGATGAAACAAAAGCTTTTCTCTCTCTCTCTCTCTCTCTCTCTCTCTCTCTCTCTCTCTCTCTCTCTCTCTCTCTCTCTCTCTCTCTCTCTCTGAGTCCTCTCAGGAAGAGAAGGGGCAACTACTATCAATGGTTTTATTAAAAGTCCTTGCAGCCTGGCCAGCATGGCTCAGTGGTTGAACATCGACCTAAGAACCAGGAGGTTAGTTTGATTCCTGGTCTGGGCACAGGCTCAATCCCCAGTGTGAGGTGTGCAGGAGGCAGCTGATTCATGATTCTCATCATTGATGTTACTATCTCTCTCTCCCTTCCTCTCTGAAATCAATAAAAACATATTTTTAGCTGAAACCGGTTTGGCTCAGTGGATAAAGCGTCGGCCTGCGGACTGAAGGGCCCCGGGTTCGATTCCGGTCAAGGGCATGTGCCTTGGTTGCGGGCACATTCCCAGTGGGGGAAGTGCAAGAGGCAGCTGATTGATGACTCTCTCATCGATGTTTCTAACTCTCTATCTCTCTCCTTTCCTCTCTGTGAAAAATCAATAAAATATATTTTAAAAACAAAAACAAAACATATTTTTAAGAAGTCCTTGCAGATGTGTTCTTTGTATATTCAGATATAAGTACATCTGTATATATTTGAGCATAGGTATCTTTGTAATGAATATGGTATGTGATATATCGATATATCATTTTCTATGTATCAAAATTGGCTTGTCCCACACCTTACAGTTTGGCACCTGGCTAACCCTTTCTAGGTAACATAGCAGTTCGCCAAGTGGACATTACCACAGTTAACTCGCCAGTCCTCTCCAGATAGGTTCTTTCCAGGGTTTTTTCTTGCTACAAGAAACCGTGCTGCAGTGACTCTCCCTGCACAAATGTCTGTGTGCTTGTGCAAGGAGAGATCCAAGAGACGTATTCCTGGAAGGGGGAACTGTTGGCTCCAAAGGAGCGTGCATTTCTGTCTTTGGGAAACATTGCCAAATCGCCTTCCGAAAAGCAGGCGCCAACTTGCAGCTCTCCCAGCAGCCTGTGAACACCCCTCTCCCCCCACCGCCTCGGCCCAGGCCCTGAACACACTGGCTGCTAGCTGCCCCCTCATCACCTGTCACTCACATACCCTGTGTTTCTAGCCACAGTGCCTGTGCCCAAGCTGTATGCACTAACATTCTCTTCCTCCCTTGTCTGTCAGGTGAAATCTTACCTCACCCATGAGGCCCAGCCTAGCCGTCACTTCCTCTGTCTGTATGGCTTCCATGACTGCCCTAGGCTGTCAGAGTACCTTCCTCTGGGATCCCAGCTTCTTGGGCATAATTTGGTCATGGCACTGAAGATGCATGTGCAGGCTGGAATTGAATGATCATTTTGACAATCCCCACCATAACCATACATCAAGTCCATCTCCTCTCCCTTCCTTCTGGTTCCCCAGCTGCACTGCCTTTTATCTCTTCTGAAGCATAGTCCTGCCTCAGGACCTTTGCACCTGCAGTCCCCTCTCTATGGATCCTGCCTTCACCCATCTTGGCCTGGGTGCTCTTCCCTGGCCACCTTGTCTCAAGTATCCCTCCTCCAGTCACTCCTTACACCACCATTTTATTATCTTCATCACACTTCTCACAAGCTGAAATAACACTGGCTTAAATTGTCTATCCTGTGCCCCATCTACACACACACACACACACACACACACACACACACACACCGTTATAAGCTCCAATGCAGGGACCTGGCTTTCCTTTCTGTCTCCAGCCTGGCGCCAGCACAAGTCCTTTGATTAAACATGTGTATTTTGCAGAAGAGGAAACATTCAGAAACTCGGCTGAGCAGCCCAGGGCCCCACAGTTAATGTTTAAAAGCACAGCGGAGATCCAAAGCCCTCTGAGCCCCCAGTGGGTTCTGCTGCTTCCCTGCTTCTAGCAGGAGGCCGGGCTCCCGGGGACCAGAGGTGCGTCTGCCGCCCCGAGGTCCCCACAGCACCTCCCAGGCCCTGCCCGGGAGGCCGGCGGGCTCGGTGGAGATGTCACCCTCCTTCCCCGCCCCCTTGTCAGTCAGGCCGAGGGGGCGGCGCTGAGCTCAGAGCTGCCGCAGCGCCGGAGCGGGAGCCGGAGCCGGAGGAGCCGGAGGAGCCGGAGCGGAGCGAGTGGGGCTCTGGGCGCGAGCGGCCGGCGGCGCACCCCAGGCCCGAGCTCTGCCGCGCCCGCTCAGGTCCTGCGCTCCGCCTGCCCAGACCCACCGGAGCCCCTGCCCCGGCCGGGCCGACCCCCGCCGCCCCGCGCCCGCCGCAGCCCGGCCCGCCGAGCCCCCGCGTCCTCCCGCCGCAGCCCCAGCCCCAGCCCGGCCCCGCAGCCAGGTGAGGCGCCGCGCTCCGGAGCGGGACTCGAGAGGACGGGGGCGCAGAGGGGAGGAGGCGGGACGGGGAAGGGCTGGGTGAGGAGGGGCTGGGTGCGCTGGGGGAGAGGACCGGGAAGGCGCTGGAACGCGGAGAAGGGGCGCCGGTGGGTGCACCCCGGGGCTGGGTGCCTGCAGCTCGGTGTCTGCAGCCGCCTGGGGGGCCGTGTGGACGTGCGTCCGCGCCCGTTAGAACGCCCGGTGTCCTGTGTGTGCACACGAGCGTGTCCGCGGGGTGTTGGTGTGTGCATGCTCGGCCGTGTGGCATGTGTGTGTGTGCACAGGCAGGCACAGAGCCCGGCGCTCCGGGTCCGCGGGGCTGCAGCGTGCGGGCTCCCGAGTAGCCGAGGCGGCCCCTCCCGCGTCCCGGGGTTTCAAGGACGCGGGGACTGCCCTGTGGCCTGGCGCGGGGGGACTGGGGCGACGGGAGGGGGTTCCGAGCCGGGAGCGCGCCCGGGCCTCAGGGGGACGGGGGGCCCCCACCGGCTCCCCGCCTCCCCCCCCGGCAGTGCTGGGGTGAGGGTGCAGGGCCAGCGCCCCGTGCCGTGTGTTCGCCTCCCCCCCCCAGGCCGCCAGGATGGACGTGTTCATGAAGGGCCTGTCCATGGCCAAGGAGGGCGTCGTGGCCGCCGCGGAGAAAACCAAGCAGGGGGTCACGGAGGCGGCGGAGAAGACCAAGGAGGGCGTCCTCTACGTCGGTGGGCGAGGGCGAGGGGGAGGGGTGGGGCGAGGTCCCGGGGTCCCCGGGGAGAGGGCCTGGGCAGGAGAGTATGAGTCAGCAGATGGAGTGGGGTCCCAGGGTCACTGGGGACACAGCCCACGGGAGGGGGAGGGGAGTCAGGGTCGGTGAGGGTAGGATCCTGCTGAAAGGCCGGAGATGGGGGAGTGATCAAAGCAGGTAGTCTTCCTTCTCTTCCTCTTCGCACGAATAGTTCGCTGGTTGTGAGCCCTCCCTCTCCGCCCAGGACTGCGGGGAATGCCCTAGCGCCCATCACCTCATTTAATCCTCCCTGCCCATTGCACGGACCAGGGCTGGCCGCCCCAGAGGCTTCGTTGTCTTGCTCAAGGTCACAGCAGCTGATAAAAGCCAAGCTCTCTGGATGGCAAGGCCCCCCGCCTCCCCCTGCCGCGCCCCCCCCCCCACTATGTTTTTGGGACTCCCTCCAGCCCTCCTCCCCACACGCTGCCCCCCCCACACACTATGTTTTTGGGACTCCCTCCAGCCCTCCTCCCCACACGCTGCCCCCCCCCACTATGTTTTTGGGACTCCCTCCAGCCCTCCTCCCCACACGCGGCCCCCCCCCACCCCCACCCCGCCCACTATGTTTTTGGGACTCCCTCCAGCCCTCCTCCCCACACGCTGCCCCCCCACACTATGTTTTTGGGACTCCCTCCAGCCCTCCTCCCCACACGCTGTCCCCCCCACTATGTTTTTGGGACTCCCTCCAGCCCTCCTCTCCACACGCTGCCCCCCCCCCCCCACACTATGTTTTTGGGACTCCCTCCAGACCTCCTCTCCACACGCTGCCCCCCCCACACACACTATGTTTTTGGGACTCCCTCCAGCCCTCCTCCCCACACGCTGCCACCGGAATTGCTCTCGGTGCCCCCTGCCTCCCAGTGCCTGTAGTTCCACCCTGCCCTCTCTCCTCCGGGTCCCCCTCCTTGCAGTTGCCAGCTGGCACCAGGACAAGGGCCAAGGGGGTAAATCTCTCACCCTGACTGCGAAAGGAGAGGGAGCCTGCAGCATCCTTTGTAGACAGGGGGGCAAGGCCCGGAGACTGGCATTCGCTGAGGCCCGCCTGTGATTCAGGCCTTCCCTGTGGACAGCGGGCAGAACTGTCTCCCGTGCAGGCTGCAGAGGGCTGCCTTTGGCTTTGTGGTCATTGGGAAAATACTTACTGACAGCCTACTGTGTGCCAGCCATGTCATGGCTCCTGGAGATGTCACAGTGGACCAGAGAGTCAAAGGCGCCTTCTCTCCTGACCCGGACACAGTCGTGGGGTTTGACAAGGGGCTGGGGCGGGGGCCGCTTTGGTAGGGTAGGTCGGAGAGGGGGATGTTGGAGCGGAGTCCTGAGAATAAGGGGCCGGAAGGGGGTTGGCGGAGGCTAGAGAGCAAAGGGCATGGTTGGGGGGCAAGAGCTGGCTCATGAGGGGCCCCTGTAGACCCGGGCACAGCATTATACTTGGCATGAGAGATTGGAAGGTAGGGACTGGTGTGACCTGATTTCCATTTGGAAAGGTCCCAGAGACCTCTGGGGACAGAACAAATCCCAGGGATGTCCCCTGGAAGGGAGGGTAGCCACCAAGCAAGGGTGGCTAGGGCAGAGGGGATGGAGTCGGGGGAAAGGCCTGAGCCCATACCTATTGGAACCCATTCTGCCCCCCTTCTGCCTCCTCCCCCTGCACAGGAGCCACCAATGGCTCCCAGTTCCTAGGCTGTTAAGCCTCAGCTCCCTGTAGCCTGAGGTCGTGCCTCAGTCTATGTTCCCAGCTGTGTTTCTCACCATCCCCGTCCCCGTCCCCATCTCTGCAGGCACACAGACCGCCTCCATGTGCTTCCTGCCAGCCCCAAACACACACCTCCCTGTGCCCTGCCTGCATGGTTCCCCGCGCTTAGAGTACCCTCTCCTCTCCCTTCTGCATATCCACCTGCGCCCGATCTGGCAAGGCCCAGCAATGCCCCCTCCCCATCACATACCCCCTGGAGGCTGGAGGTCCGCTCAAGGAAGTAGGTGTGAGGGGCTCAGTGCAGCGATGAGGGGTGACTTGTAGGATTTTGAATCCCAAGGAGGCAGTGATGGGACCAAAATGCCTGCTGCCAACCAGGTCCCCCTGCCCATTGTGTAACCCCTGTGCTTGCCAGAGTCTCTGACCCCTCAGCTCAGAGCCCTTAAATGTGCCCTTTATCTTCCTGCAGGAAACAAGACCAGAGAAGGGGTGGTACAAGGAGTCACCTCAGGTACCAGCCCAGCCCTGGCCCAGCCCCTTTCCCTCCCCAGCCTGAGAGCTGCCTGGTTCCAGAGGGTGGGGATAAGGGTGGTGGAAAAGGGTACCCCTAAGATTGAGGGGATGCTCCACGGGAAAGGCAGGTCCCAGGGCACTACAGGGGCGGGGGCACCTATGTCTCCTTCACCTTGGCCCCCAACCCCGTCCCTAACCCTCTCCCTGCTCTAGTGGCTGAGAAAACCAAGGAGCAGGCGTCACACCTGGGAGGAGCGATGTTCTCCGGGGCTGGGAACATCGCGGCAGCCACTGGCCTGGTGAAGAAGGAGGAATTCCCCACTGACCTGAAGGTGAGCAGCCCTTCCACCACACACACGGATGACTACAAATGTACACACGTTCCCACAAGCCCGCCCAGGCTCCCTGCCACCCCAGCCAGCACCTCACCTCCCTTCTGCAGGACCCTGTCAGAGTCTAGGGGTGTGTAGATGTGGTGCTCCTGTGACCATGACCCAGACCTGGCTGTGCACATGCATCCTGCTTGCAAGGGTGACCTGGACCACTTCTGGCCACATCAGCAAGTGTCATTGATTGTTCATTCATTTCTTTTTTTTTTTTTAATACAGTATATTTATTGATTTTTTTTACAGAGAGGAAGGGAGAGGGATAGTGAGTTAAAAACATCGATCAGCTGCCCCCTGCACACTCCCTACTGGGTATGTGCCTGCAACCAAGGTATATGCTCTTGACCGGAATCGAACTAATGCTCTATCCACTGAGCCAGACTGGTTAGGGCCATTCATTACTTTCCATTCAACAAGTATTTACACCAGAGAGGAATTGCTCTGGGGATTGCTGCAATGAACAGCTACCTGCACTCATGGAGCTGATACTGCAGTGAGAGAAGACAGAAAAAAGCCAACCAATAAGCAAGGTTATTTCAGACAGGGATAAATGCTACGAAGAAAAGACAACAGGGTGATAGAATAGTCAAGGGATGCGGGGCTGCTTTGGCTAAGAGGGCTTTTCTGAGGAGGGACATTTGAACTGACACCCAAGGGATGAGGCAAGCCAAACGGGGAGTGTATTTCAGGCAGCAGGAGCAGTTCATGCAAAGGCCCTGAGACAGGCGCGAGCAGGTAAGGTCCAAGGGGGAGCGGAGAGGGGAAGTCGTGTGTCACTCGTTTGCAAAGGCATGTCCCCTCATAGTGGTGGTGGCTACCTGTGTGTGCATAAGACAGGTGCCTGCATTAGGACACTGCAGAATAAGCCTTGTGAGCTCTGGAACCTCACAGAGCTGGACCTGAATCCCAACTCCACTACTTCCTGGTTGTGTGACCATGGGCAGGTCCCATCACGTCTCTGACTGTAAGATGGGAGAGGAACATGATAGGGTTCTTCTATGGATTAGAGATAACATAGATCAGAGGTCCTCAACACGTTAAGCATGCCTGAGAATCACCAGAAGGCCGATTACAATACGGACCGTTGGCCCCGACCCTAGAATTTCTGACTCAGTAGGCCTGAGGTGGGGCCTGGTGATTTGCATTTCTAACAAGGACTCAGGTGGTACTGATGCTGCAGGTTCAGAGACCCCATTGTGAGAAGCACTGGTGAAGAGACAGGCTTGCACACAGCGAGTGCTCAGTAAGACACAGGGGCCCCATGACCATGTGAGTGGTCCGTGTCTGCCCCCAGGTGTACGTGGAAGTGCACTCCGCCTTGCACTCTGGGCCCATACGTTTGCACAGACGTTCATTCCCCCGTGGGATGTTGCAAGTCTGCCCGCCTACAAGTGCAGGCTCTGCCTCTGTGGGGCGAGGGCTCCTTCCTCCGCTGGTTTGGGAAGTCAGTGTGCCTTTCACGTGCGTGTACCCACAGGCTGGGGGAGATCCCACCCCATGCTGCACTGCAGACGTTTTGCACAGCTGCTTCCTTCCCCAGCAGAAGTCTGGGACTTGACTCAGAAGTTCTGCTTCAAGTCCTGCCCATGCATTTCTTATTGTTATATTTCCAGTGATTGCTCCCATTCATTGACCTATTCTATGGGCAGGTACTGCTCTAGAAGTGTTATAGATGCAGCAACTGAGGCTCAAAAGCAGTGAAGTGACTTGCCCAAGACCCCATGCCTGCCTCCCTGAGAAGGTGGTTGGGAGGATAAGCTCGGGTCCATATCATTGGAGTCACTTGACGCCAACTGATGCTACGTCCTCTGCCGGGGGCTGGGGTGCAAGAGAGAGGCAAGTCTGGGCTATGTGTGAGGGGCGTTTGCACAGAGCCCTCTTTCTCTGGCCGCCTAACTCCTACCAGCACCTCAAGCCTCTTCTCTCAAGGAAGCTCAAGATCATAGATTTACAATCCAAACCACAGTCCTCTGGGGCCACCCAGCATGGGGAAACCTGTGTGAGCCCAGCATGCATGTTCCTGAGTGTCTCTCCATCCCAGCCTGCTCACATACGGCATCATGGAGCCTCCTGTACTCCTACAAAGCAGAGACACCATCTCATTTCACACCCGAGGCTGCTAGGATCAGCGGTGAAGTGACATCCCTGATGCCAGTCAGCTAGTGCGTGGCCAGGCTGGGAAACACCCTCATGTTAGCACCCAAATCAAGGCTCAGAACATCGGCCCTTCAGGAGGCCCACCTACCCACTTCCAGTCCTTTCCACCAGGGCCAAGACTAGGGTGAGGTGAGGGAGGTGTCTGGGGTACATAATTTAAGGGGTGCACTCATTCTGGGGTCTCATTTCCATGGTGATGAGAATGGTGCCTTCTCAACACTTGCATCCTCAGTGCCTTACTCTCTCCCACCTTCAGCCTGGCCCTGCCTCCCTGCCCATGCTTCCTGCCTTCTAGCATCACAAATCAGCTGGGTGTTTTTTAACTCCCTATAAATGCTATCCTAAAGTAGACGCTCTTCTGTCCCTGGCTTCTTCCACTCAGGAGGAAGCTATGCTATGTACTATAGGCCTCCATGTTTATTGTGCAGAATCCATGTATGGTGAAACCACAAGGCACACATCCTTTTACTCTTATTGAACTTCTGTTTCCAAGCAATGTGCTTGAGTTGGAAATTTTTTTTAATATATTTTATTGAATTTTTACAGAGAGGAAGGGAGATGGATAGAGAGTTAGAAACATTGGTGAGAAAGAAACATCAATCAGTTGCCTCTTGCATACCCCCTACTGAGGATGTGTCTGCAAACAAAGTAAATGCCCTTGACTGGAATCGAACCTGGGACCATTCAGTCCGCAGGCTGATGCTCTATCCACTGAGCCAAACCAGTTTCGGCTGATCTGGAATTTTTAAAAATTGATTTCAGAGACAGGAAGAGAGAGAGAGAAACATTGATGTGAGAAAGAGATACCAGTCAGTTGCCTCCTGAATGTGCTGACCAAGGATCAAACCTGAAACTTGGGTATGTGCCCTGACTGGGAATCGAACCCTCCACCATTTGGTGTACGGGACAACACTCCACCCAACTGAGCTACTCCGGCCAGGACTCAAGCTGGAATTTTTAACATCATGTTTCTTTCCTGGATTCTGAATATAGCCGGGTGACTAAACTAACATTTCTCCACTTCCTGGGCCCTGGTATATCCATCTGGACACTGAGGGGAATGAGTCAGGCCAAGAGCTGTAGACTCGTTTGCCCGAGGGGCTCACCTAGACAGGTAATTAGAGGGAGCTGAAGCCGCTCGGGTGGAGTTGGTGCAACTACAGTGCACAGTCGTTCGTCTCAGCATCAGTCCTTCAGGATCCCAAGAGTCTTATCTCCGCCCAGGAGGGAGGGACAGTGATACTTGTGGAAGTGGGGGGGGGGGGTATGCCCTCCTCCCTAAGGTTCCCCAGGGGTCCAGGCATGTGCCAGCCCATGTGGCCTTGTGCAGCCGTACGCTGGACCCCAGGTTACTGTGTGTGCAGCCAGCTCCATCTCATGTTTGTGCACATCCTGTGCTCACCTGGGCTGGCAGCCCCTCATTTGCATGCCTGCTGGTCTGCACTAGGCGGGGGAGCAGGTGCAGGGGGAAGGGACTGGAGTCTTAGCTCACACATCCAAGCAACACCACTGAGCCGTTGCTTCCAGCTTATCTTAAAATAGCAACAGCTGAAGAAACCAGGCCACACAGGGCCGCGGGGGAGGGAGTGAGGGAGGGAAGGCGGCAGGGGAATGGCTCAGAGCCCCTCCCCAGTCCATCTGTGAGCCTCCATCTCTCTCCAGCCAGAGGAGTCTCCGGGGTTACCTCTGGGGTCCCAAAGCCCCACACAGAGCCTGACGCACGGGCGTGGGGATAAAGAGGTGACTGCATATGCTGTTGACCTCCCCATCCCATTCAGTAAAAGTGATGGAAGGGCAGGGGCCTGCCAGGTGCCGGGGAGAAGGGTATGGCGAGCCCTGCTCCACTCCCCACATACAACTTCAAGCAGGGTTTGGAGAGATTTCACTTCTCATGCATCCACCCCACTTCCAAATAAGCAATTTAATTAGACATTCTGGTTGCACTGCCAACAAAGCCTCACCTCCCCCTAGTCAGCCAGGAGCTCCCCCCGGGTAGGAATTTGGGGGGGCACCCCTGGCGGCCCTCACAGGCCCTGTCCCTTCTCTGCCTGCAGCCTGAGGAGGTGGCCCAGGAAGCTGCTGAGGAGCCACTGATAGAGCCCCTGATGGAGCCAGAAGGAGAGAGCTATGAGGACTCGCCCCAGGTGAGGCGGAGCAGGGCTGGGTGGGGCTGTGGGCGCCCCAGAGGACAGCAGCCATCCCCAGCTGGGGTGGGAGGTCCCTGGCAGGGTAGGGTTGGGCCAGAGAGCTTCAGGTCCCCGTTTTCTGGAACCCAGGTCCCCAGAGGTGTCAGCATGGAGGGAGGACAGCTGGGGTGTACTACTGGGCCCCAGGGAACCCTGCCCAGGACTGAACAGGCTGTTTCCAACTCCCAGGTTCCTGGTTGGGGGCGGGGGTGGGGGAGGGGGGGATATGCCCTATTCCTCCCTAACAGGGAGAGGTCTCAGGCCCAGAGCCTGGCCACCTGGTTTCCAACCCCTTCCTCTTCTGCTCTTCTCCACTTCACCCCGATCCCTCTGATGCAGGAGGAGTATCAGGAGTATGAGCCAGAGGCCTAAGGGGCCAGGAGGGCCCCCCACCAGCAGCACAATTCCTTCCTGATCCCTGCCTCACCTCCCAGAGCCAGGGCTGACCTTCAACCCCTGCCCCCCAAATACGAGATCTTCCTACACTCCAAGGCGCCCGCTGGGAGCCTGTGTTAGTATCTGTCCATCTGTCTGTCCTACCCGCCGGCATCCAACCCCGGGGCCTGGACAGGGCCTGGCCTGCGGACGACCATGGGAGCCTCGCCGCCCCACCTGTGTTGTCCTGCCCGCCCCATCCCGTCCAGTGTCTGCGCGGATGTAGCATGTTCTGTGTGTTTTTAAACCAAGATCCGAAGGCGACGGCGCCCTGCCCTACCCCCACAGAGTCTCTCCGAGCGGCCCCTCCAGAATCCCCCACTCCACTCCCACGCCCGCCCCAAAACCTTTTTTATTTTTAACCAAAACCGGGAGTCAGGCTGTGCCATACCCCTCCCCCAGCCGATCCGGTCCAAGCTCGGGCGTTGTGTGTGTCGTGATCGTGGCATGGAGAGTCCCCCAACCCCGTGTGAGCGTGTTCCGGGCGGGCGGCCCAGCCGCCCCCTCCGTGTCCATGAATAAAGTCACTCTGTCTGTAGCCGGCGCCACGCGGGCAGAGCGGGCGGGGGCGCCAGAGGGGGGTGGCCCACGGACTCCACCTGCCCCACTCCCTTCTTTGGGGCCCGCCAACCTCGGCCCGGGTATGGGACTGACAGCCTCGGACCCCGGCTTCTCAGTATCCCACCCTCCCGTGGAAGGATGTGGGCGAGGGGTTCTCCCAGGCTGCGAGGCGGGGAGGCAGCCTCTGGAGCCCCCTGGCGGCGGTAGAGCGCTGCTGCCTGTTCGGGGTGGAGGGGAGCCCCGGCGCCCCGGTCGCCGTGGTACGGGGTGCGCGGGTTCACACCGCGCCTCGCTCGCAGCACGGGCGCGCGGACACGGGGGGCGCGCCGGGCGGAGTGCGCGCTCCCGGGCAGGCGCTCCTGGGCGGACACGTGCACACTCACGGCTGCACGCGCGCCGCCAAGTCCTCGGGAACCTGCTGCGCGGGCACGGAGACGATGCTGTGCGCAGACAGACCTCTCCCCTCCCCAGAGCGTTCACACGCGCGCACACCCCCCCCTGCGCGCGCACACTTGCACACACACCTGCCCAAAGCAGACAGCCCATCCTGCCCAGGGGACGGGAGACGGGCAGCCGTCTCAGGAGTCACAGCTAGGGCTTCACCCCTCCCGGGAAGGCGCCTGGGGGGTTGCGGCCTGGGCTGGGGTGGGCGAGGGTCTGCAGACATCTGGAAGCCGGCCAGCCCTCTGGAACAGACCGTTATGGACGTTGGAGGGACGCCAGCACCGCCTGGGCAAGGGAAGACGGGCGGAGACATCACGTGGCTGCGCGGAGGCCCCGCCTCCGTCAAGGCGAAGGGGCCGCTCTCATTGGCTCAGAAGCTCCCCACGAGGCCCCGCCCCCGTCGATGCGCAGCTCTCTCTGCCACGGAGCTCCTTCATTTCATCCCCGCAGAAGCGGGGTCCCAGCCCAGGCGGAACCCCCGCTTTTCCTGGCCGCTGGACCCCACCCCCAACCTCGCCTGCGTAAGAGCTCACCCCCCTTCTCTGCCTGTTCAGACATCCTTTCGGACTCCAGCCCCTGGGGTGGAAGGAGCTTGGCCAATTCAGTCAACGCCGAGTGTTAGCGCTGCCTCTTTCCCGAGGGGAGGGGGCTGGGACGGTGCCAGGATCAGGAGCTCCTTGAGCATTGCGGGAGGTCCGCCCACTGGGGGCACCTTGGCCTGTACCTAGCCTTTGCTTCCGGAAGTCGGAGGCGGCTGGCAGACATGTGCGCAGTAAGAACAAACCGGTGGGCTTGGCTTCTCTGACTCCATATGCAGGTGCCAGGATCTCGGGTCCCTTTTGACTGAATGAGGACACCATTTACAACCCACAGGGCGCGGGGATTGCAAATTCCTGGCCCTCCGTTTGAATTTGGCATCTAGAGATGCTTAATTTGCTAGCACAAGGTTTAATTTTTTTTTAAATGTGATTTCAGTTGGCAACAGCCCTTTTCTCTCCCTAGTCACTCATTTTCATGAGCTGACTGCTAAAGAATTTGAGTTTGCCACCTCCTCTCCAGATACCAGCACCGGATCCCCAGTTTTAGATGCCAGAACAAGGTTTGCCATCTGGTTCAGGTGGGGGTGGGTTCTTCTTCCTTCTCTGTTGCCAGGCCACGCACCTGGTTTTCTGAGCCTGGTGTCTCCCCAGAGTCCAAGGTTGTCTTCTGCCAGGGTCACTTTTAAACTGTATTCCAGGCACAGGCACAGAAGCATCAGCGGGAGATGCCAGCCCTGTGTCAGATGGCAGCCCTGCCTGTGGGTGCACATGTAAGAACACACAACTCCTGGGACCCTCCCTGGTGACAGGGATGGAGTTATTTACCAAGTGCCCAGTAGGCCTCAGGCATCTGGCATCGGTCTCCATGAATTTCACTTGAAATTGTGCTCAGTGATTTCTTGTTAGTAGACCCAGTTTGCATGTGAGAGAATGAAGGCCAGAGAGGCAGTAACCTGCCCTGGGAAGCATTGGTAGGAAGTGACAGAGGCCACAAGCCTGACCCCAAAGCCCAGTTTTCCCAGAGGGACCTGCTCTTGGGGGAGATAAACACACAGAACCATCAATAAAGGAAACCATGGGGGCAGCAGAGTGGAGATAAGAGAAGCATGTGCAATTTCATGCAGACTGCAAGTGAGGTTGTGTTTGGGGGTGGGGGGTTTGAGGTGTTGAGCTGTGTGTGCACACTTACATACATGATGGGAGTGTATCAGTTGATGTGTGTACATGGATATTGCCCACATGTGTTGTGTGTGTTTAGTCATCCAACAGTATGTGCTGCACACATGCTCTGTTCTTAGAAGTGAGAGGCTGCAGGCACAGCCCTGCAGGTCGCTGCCCCAACAGAACTCCTGTCCCACGGATCAAGATAATTTTGAGTTTTATGTATTTATTTTATTATTTTTTAATATATTTTATTGATTTTTTACAGAGAGGAAGAGAGAGGGATAGAGAGTTAGAAACATCGGTGAGAGAGAATCATCCATCAGCTGCCTCCTGCACAACCCCTGGTGGGGATGTGCCTGCAACCAAGGTACATGCCCTTGACCGGAATCGAACCTGGAACCCTTGAGTCCACAGGCCGACGCTCTATCCACTGAGCCAAACCGGTTTCGGCAATTTTGAGTTTTATGAAGAACATAAAGCAGGGCAATATGCCTGGGAGGGAGTGGTGAGCAACAGTAAGTGGGTGGTCAGCTCAGGCCTCCGAGGAGGTGAGGCTGACACCTGTGTGAGAAGGAGCCACTGATAGAGCCTGGGAGATCGGGAGACAGCCTCGCAGCGGAGGAGCCCACCTCTGTGTCTGCGAGGACATGGCACATGGTGGGCCTGGCTGAGCCCGGCTGGGCCTGCTGATATCTGCAGGTCCAGCCCCACCGCGCCTGACCACACCTTCCCTCTGTGCCTGTGCTTTCCTCCACAGCTGCCCTCAGCGCAGCCTGGTGGAATCCTTCCCTCCTCTGAGCTCCCCTAGTCCTCCAACAAGAAATGTTAGTCCCCGTCACTCCGTCCTGCGCAGTGTGCGCAGGGTGACCCCTCCCAACCGTGCCGGCACTCTGGGCTTTTGCTGGCTGAAAACTGCCCTCTCCCCCTGATGAAGGGCTGGGGGTTGTCCCTGTGTCCCCACCGTTCCCAGTTTCCCTCCCAGCTTCCCACTCCCCCCCACCCCACCCCCCGGAACTTTATTTTTGTTGTCTCCCTTCCCTATTTATAGCTCTCTCCCCTCCAGAACCATCCCTGCATCCATCCTGTTGCCTAGAAACTGGCTCTGGGCTGCGGGTGGGGGAAGGCCAGGCCAGCCAAGGCAGGGAGAAGGAAGAACTGCCACCCACGCCCCCTCCCAGCATTGCTCTCAGGCTCCCAGGAGCCCACACCAGCCTCTGCCCAACACCCACACGTGTTTCTTAAAAGATAAAACAAAATGTGGAAAACAGCAGCCTTTGTGATTTGTGAAGCCCTTCACAACTTCTAGAGGGCAATATATACACCCAGTCGCTGATGCCTCTCAATAGCCTGCCCTGTGGGAGGCCTGGACCCATTTTTCCAAATGAAGAAACTGAGGGTCCAGGAAGTAAAGGTCTCATAGCTCACATCCTCTCCAGAGAAATTCTATGGCTTCCTTGGGATACTGGCCTGAAACACTGAAAAGTTTTAAGAGCACAAATAATCCCCAAATCCATTGTTTTCAAAAGGGTAAAGAGAAAAATGTTAAGATTTATCACACACCAAGCCACCAACACTGCCATACACCCACCATGCACTCTGCCATGCCCCACACCATGGCCCCAACATGTCCCTGCCACACCCCAACCATGCCACCCTACGTGCCCCCCCAGTCCCCCTTGCCCAGCTGCAACTCGACTCCTGGTCCTGAGTCTCCCCTTCCACAGATGGGACCAGGGAGCCTGAGCTTGCTTTCTGGCTCTGACTTCACCAGCTTTGTGACTCAGACAGTTCACATGACCTCTCTGAGCCTCGGCTTCCTCAGCCTGAAAGAATGCTGACTTCCACCCCAGAGGACTAGTAGGAGACACTGATGAGAAAGTGCTTTGAAAACCATGAGTGCTGTAGGTGTGACTAATTCAAATAGTTACTATTGCTATGGTTACAATCAGGGCCAAGAGGTAGGGCAGAGGAGCCAAGATGGGACTGGGCTTACCAAGGGAGCCCTGGCCTGTGTCCAGGCAGAGGCCTCCTTTCCCTGGAAGAATGAGGGTCCTGGGTGGGGACTGCCTAAGACTGAGGAGTGGGGGGAGGGCACAGAGGCCCTCATGCCTGACTCCCCCGGCTCTCAGGCATCCCCATCCCCTCCTGCCCCTCTCCCTGTCTCCCACTCAGAGGGCCCACTTGTATCTCTGAACTTGGCTCTCTGGGCAGAATGGGGGAGAGGGCTGCCAAGGAGCAGCTGGCCATGATTCAGCCTGAGTCACCCATCCAAATGCTGGGGCCACCCCCAGCTGGGCCAGGGCCCGCAGCTGCTGGGGGTGGGGAAGTGGAGAGGAAGGGAGGAGGCTGTGTGGGCAGCAGGCTGTGCTCACATGTGCTCAGGCCAGGGGCTTTCATGACCATCAGAGCAGCTGTGAGGGGCTGGTGCATATGAAGAGGTCAGAGTCGAGAGAGTGACTCCACGGACACCGGTTATCTGGGCTGACTAAGGAGGCAGGGTTTTCGTGTGTGTGTGTGTGTGTGTGTGTGTGTGTGTGTGTGTGCCTGCACATGATTGGGTGTTGCAAATAGTCTTCTGAGTAAATGAAGAAGAGCTAATAGTATGGACTGAAGTGTGGCTCCCAGCTTTATCACTTTCAGCTATATGACCCTGGTAAGTTACCTAACCTGTCTGGACTTCTGTTTCCTCGCCTATGAAATGGAAACAACAATACTATCACTCTCAGATGATTTTCTTCAGAAGTAAATGTAATGAGATGGTGACTGTCAAACAATTAGGCAGGCAGTAAGTGGTGCATCACCATCGTTACGTTATCATCATCCACCGGGTTACACATTGCCTGCATAGGAAGGCACCTATCTGAGTGTCTGTATTCAGTGGTGTGTCTGCACAAGCCTCAGGGGATGGGAGGTCTGGGTGAGTATTTCTTGAAGGAGCCAGTGAATGTGTGCTGTGTGTACAATTCTGAAGCAAACACAAGCACTTTCCAGAAAGTTGGGTTCACTGTCTGCCATATGATCCCATCTCTACACACACACACACACACACACACACACACACACACACACTACCACCACCACCACACCTTCCATAGAGGCTGTGATTTGCTGAAATTGGCCTAGACCTGGACCAGTGTTCAAGCAAACAGGTCAGGAACTGTGAATGTTATCGCATTGGAACGCTCAGACCTCCTCAAAAACAAAGCTGGAATGGGGGTAACTGGCTAGACCCCAAGGGTGGGTATGAAAGGGGGACTGTGTTTGATACAGTGGACATGAACATCAATAAGCATGAGATGCGTGTGTGTGTGCACGCGCACGTGCACGCGTGCAGGGTGGCACTGGGAGCGGCTGCTGTCTCTGCTCTGGTACAGTCTGCTTGTCTCCATGGAGCCTGTTGCCACACATGCTTGCTTTTCAGAAAGTCACCGGGATTGTTTTTTCCACCCCCAGCCTGGGCGCCAGCCAAGGAGCTGCAGGCACTTGTTTATCTTTTGGTGCGTACGAGTGTGTATGGCTTCCCAGCGGGAGACCATTCGAGATATACACACACATGCACACACACGCTCTCACATGGGCAGGGGTGACCATGTTGGTTGTCACAGAATGAGCCTGAACCCCAGGATGAGCCAAAACCTGGGCCCAGACCAACTCGCTTTATGTGGGAACAAAGATGGCCCCTCAGCAGCCTCAGGGGACACACCAGGCTTAGCAATCCCCAAAGCTCCAGGAAAGTGTGAGGGCCAGATGCCCTGGCCTTGGTGCTGTACTCTAACCCCATCCCCCAGAACCAGTCACTGCACAGCAAGTGGACACGCCTGGGTCACTGCCCCCCTAAAGCTGGCAGTGGACGGGAGTGGCTCGCCGTGGTCAGAAAAGGGGAACAGTGTTGTCCCCCATGAGTGCTACACTATGCTTGGTGTGGAATTTTTATTTGTTGTTTGGGTTTTTGTTTTTGTTTTTGTTTTCTCCCTCTACATTCTCCTTAGAGCTCTGAGCACTCTTACATATGATGAAGTTGAGGCTCAGAAAGACCTTAATCAAGGCACACTACTTGTGTGCTACTAACTGGAAAGACCTTTGTGTTTGGTTTTGTTTTCTGGAAACTTTCCATTTCAAACGTTTTTATCAACAAGTCCCCATGGAACAAGAGTGTTTGGAGTGTGGCAAAGGGCACAGATGGAAAGAGGCCCTGACTGGGCCATGTAGCTGACAAGGCCAGAGCTCTGACCTCATCCTCTCAGACGACCTTACCGTTCCTGTGCCAGCCAGAAAGACTTCCATCGGCCAGGACCTGCGTCTTTGTCAAAAAGCTGCCCTCTGGCTGTGGAGCCCACTTGCCCCGTGCACTGTGAGCCAGAAGCACCTGGAATTAGCACTCAGCCCCGGTGTCTACCAGGCACTCGGCTATAAATATACCCGCTCCCTCACCCTTGGCCAGGGAATTCTGAGATGTGCCTTCATCCCATTTCCCAAGACTTCCTGTGGGATTAAGCTTCACTCTCCCACTGTGGTAGCTGGCTTAATAACTGCCTCTTATTGGATACCTGTCTCTCCTGGGCCACTTTCCCACTCCCCTGCTGGTGTCCCCGCACCTCCCAAATAAGCCACAATCTCTTCAATTCAGGTCTGTAAGCTGCCCCAAAGCACTCGACTCCATCTTTCCCTTCCACCCTAAGCATTTGGGTCCAGCCATTGCACTCTCCATTCCTGGCATCTCCCATTCCTGTCTCTACTGCCCCACTCCCATCACGATGTGATGCCTTCAATCTCCTCCTCACCCCATGTAGAAACCGTGATGTCTCCTTTCTCCCTCCAAGCCCAGACTTGTTGAAAGAGTCATATCCTTGTCGCTCAGTGCCTTACTCCTATTTACTCATTAACCACCACCCCCCCCCGCCGTCTGGCTTCCACCCCCAACTCCTCCACTGCCTATGCTTTCATCAAATTTCCACTACCTTCTTTTTAAGTGCAGAGGACATCTCCCAGGCCATATCCTATCTTCCTGGTGCAGTTAGCCCTGCCCTTCTGGAACATTCTCTCTCCTTGGCTTCAGAGACATCACACTCTCCTGGGTTTCTTCTGGTTTCTCAGACAACTTTCCTCTCTCTCTCTCTCTCTCTCTCTCTCTCTCTCTCTCTCTCTCTCTCTCTCTCTCTCTCTCTCCTCATTTCCCAGCTGGTCCTTTAATGGTGGAGCTCCTTAGGTGGATCTGAGATCTTCACTCACACCCCCACCCTTGGTCTACATGCTCCCCTCATGCACCAACACGTCCTCATGACTTTCATCACCAGCTTCCTGGCCTGGTTGCCCTGGCTACTCCTGGGCTCCGCTCTGGACTCGTATGTGAAAGCACTGCCCTCCCACAAGCCTTTACTTTCCCCAGGGCTCATCGGTACCTGTCCTCCATCCACTTGCTCCCCAAAACAGAACCTGAGAGAGACAGCAGAACCCTGTGTCTTCTCACACCCACAGCCAGCCCATGATCAAAGCTTCTCTCCATCCCAACAAACACTGCCATGCTTCCGAGAGCAGCGTCTCTCCCCTAAACAACCTCCGAGGCCTCCTCACTCACGCCCTGGTCTGGTTCAAATTCGCCCCGCCCCAGGGGGCTTAGATCATAGGTTGGTCCTGCCACTTTTCCCGTCTTCTGAGCCTCCCCCAGCCTCCATGTCTACATCTGTGTCACCGGGCCAATAATATTTACCTGGAAGGACTGTAGGGGGAATAAAATGAAATGACGAATGTAGAATAGGGTTTGTAAACTGTGAAGCAAAGTGCCCTTGCGGGCAGCGAAGGAGCAGTTTTCAGGGCCTGAACGTTAGAAAGCCGGCCCTGCAGGGGAGTTGTCCGTGGTGCTGAAAATTGGTTTGGGCATTCTGCGGTTTTCTGCTTCCCTGGGCTTCTGGCTCAAGACACAGGCCGATAGATTTTCTTCGTTTGCCATCTAGATTTTTTTTTTTTTTTAAGATCACGGTGACTTAAGGTTCACCAGGTAAGTGACAGGAATAAAAAATAGGGGTTAAGTGTGAGGTGAATTAGCTGTGTGAGCAGAAACAAGTGATGTATCAGTATCTCAACATTCTTATCTGAAAAATGGGGACATGATCCATTAACATTAACACTCTTCTAAGTGATTGGAAATTGAAATTAGATGAATTCTGTAAACAAAACTTAACACTGTGTCCCTAAATAAGCGTTACATTAACATTAGCTGTTGCCATTTTTAGTAGATGGTTTCACAAGTACAGGAGAGAGGGTTCTATCCTCTCTCTCTCTCTCTCTCTCTCTCTCTCTCTCTCTCTCGGCAATTACGGAATTATTTTTTTCTCCTCTGGAAAGTCAAAGGGGAGGGCACAATTTCTCTGCTGAGAAATGTCGAGGGAAGGGGGGGCTGCAAGTCCTGACGCACTAGGCAATTCACATTTTACTGGGAGCCCCTGAAATCTGCTTCCGGCTCCTGCATCCTTCCAAGGCCACTGTGAAGTGATTCATATTAGTCCCATTCTATAGATGGGGAAATGGAGGCTCGGAGGGGTGAAGTGATTTGCTCAAGGTTGCCTCGGGGGAGAAGAAGTGGACTTGCACGGACTAGAGGGTGGGCGGCCACTGGCTGGGAGGCGGGTGGCGGGGGAATCCAAGGCGCTTCCCGTCAAACCCCCGCACCACTCCCACCCCCACCCCCATCCCCTCCACCCCCATCCCCACCACCCCCACCACCGGGGTCCGCTCCGCTGGCGCGGGCGTGGGCAGCGGCGAGACAAAGGGAAGGGGGCGGGGAGGGGCAGGCCGGAAGTGCGGCCGTGGCGGAGGCGGGAAATCTCTCCGCTTTGAGAGCTCGGAGATCTCACCGACCTGGGTCCCCATCCGTGGAGCGGCTTCCCCTCTCCGAACCCCCATTTCCCTCTCGGTGAGGCGTGGAGGGAGAGGGTGTCTTGGGGCTGGTTGGGTGAGGTTGGAGACAGCCGCCCCGCCCTCCAAAGGCGCGCGGCCACCGGGCAGCCCCTCCACCTCCGAGCCTCCGGGTCTGTGAAATGAGAGCCCAATCGACAGGGCGGGAACCCAGAAGCCCAGGGGCCATGCGGAGGGGCGTCCCTCTCTCCCTCCCTCCCTCCCTCCTTCTCCCCGGCTTCCCCGCCGGCACCGCCCCTCCCGGCTGAGCCCGGGGCCGGCCAGCGCGCATGCCCGGGGCGGGGCGGGCGCGGGGCGGGAGCGCGGGTCCAGCACGGGGGACCGCGGCGCCGACACCGAGGGGCCGCCCGCCAGCCCGGCCGGAGGCAGCGAGGCCCCGGGCGGCGGCCGCGGAGCCGGAGCGCAGCGCGCCGAGGACACCGAGCGGCGGCACCGCGGGGTAAGCGCCCGCCGCACCTGCCGCCCCTCCGGGAGGGCGGGCGGCGAAGAGCCCCTTCTCCCTTCCCTCCTGCCGAACCAGGAGCCGCTGTCCAGGGTCTTCGAACCCCCTGGGTGCTGGGCTTCGGCCCCGCGCGCGGAGTGCGTCCGGCCGGAGCCCGGGTCCGTCTACGCGCGCGGCCGGGGGCGGCAGGTTCCCGTTCCTAGGCTCCTGGCGGCGGCGGGCGGGGTGGGGGCGGGTCCCGCTGTCCGGGCCGAGTCCCCAAGGGGCCCCACCGGCCAGTCCGCGCGTGTACAGAGCCCTGGCCCCGCAGCCCGCAGCCCCTTTGTTCCGCATGGCCGTGTGTGTGTGTTGGGGGGGGGGGGGTAGCTCGGGGAGGGGTCCGCCTGCGTTGATTCATTTCTCTCCTAGAGCAAGCTCAGGGCTCGAGTGGCTCTGCTGTTCGTGAAACAATGAGCATACTCGCTGTTGCACACTTGGAGTGGCACACCCTCTGGGGTCCCATCACACACTGTCACACAACGCATGAGGCCATAGGTCCACACACGGCCGCTGTGGGCCTTGGTCATTCCATCAGACTCATAAACTTGGCCACCCGTGCACCCACCGAGAACACCCCGTGGGAGCCTTCCGTACACACCCAGGCATAGCTACGCACTCACACCAGCCATCACTATCACTGCATTCTCAACTCAACAATGCTCCCTGATCCCGACATGCTCACAGCCACCCAGCTCTGGCCTGCGTGTGCCTGTTCACACCTGCTCATCACGGTGTCCCTCATGTACCCACAGCCCCTGGAGTAGGCCGTCACACTTGTGGGCACTTTCCCTGTCGCACACTTTCTGCCTCTTAGCTTAATATCCACCTTCCCCCACATTCAGCCCCAGGGTGCACACTCTTGCCCTCTTGGGGATGGGTGGATGGATGGATGGATGGATGATCAGGGGGCCATTTCTGGAAGAAGGTTTGGCCATCACCCTTGTTAAGCTCTTTCTTCCAAGCAGGAAGCTTCACTGCCGTGAGGGTACTAGGAGATGAGGGTAGGAGAGGGTGAGGGGCAGCAGACCAGGACTGTCAGAGAGTCACAGGCCACATTCATGCCTGTCAAAGCCCACAAGCCTTTATAGGTCCTGTCACTATGGGAGGAAGTGTTCGCTGGTAGCTGGCAGCCCTGGGAAGAAATCCTAAAGGGAGAGGAATAGGCTGGCCAGGTCTCTGGGCCAGAATGGGCACTCACAGGGGCAGCTCCACCCAAGAGCAGGGCACACCTCCAGGCCAGCTCTCCCAGGAGACTCTGAGGCCCTGTAGCCACACGAGTGCACACCCACAGGGTCCAAGTGGGCCCCATGTCACACAAACAAGCAGGCTATTTTATGCATATGCAGGTGGCTCGTGTGTACACCAAGCTCTTCTTGAGCAGAATGCAAGAGCCAAATCCCAGCTCCCAGGCTGGCCTAGCCTGGTGCATTCTACACTCCCTCTGCACACACTAAGGGGTCATCTGCTCACGGGGTTTGTGGTTCCTGTAGGTGGGGTGTGCATGGGGGACACTCTTTTGTGAGGAGTGGGGGGGCACTCTTGCTTCCTCTGCTGAATGTTCCCTGGTACTTTGCCCAAAAGCAGAAAGGGGTTTTAAGAATTAAGGGTCAGTGTCCAAGATCTTAGCTGATACCAGTCGGAAGAACCCAGGTTTGGGTTCGGAAACATAGGCTTTGAGCCACAGTCCCCGCCCATCTGTGTGCCTTTGGTGTCAAGTCTTTCCTCCCTCTGACCTGTGTCCTCACCTGTGAGATGGGGTAACAGTGCTCCCTCGTGAGATTTTTGTAGCGTCCGGACGCTAAAGGGAGCCTGAGCGTGCTGGGCCCAGGGCTGAGCACACAGTGGGAGAGTGGCAGAACTGGGCTCTAGAGGGAGGGGAGGGGCTGGAGGGGGTGAAAGGTGGCGCCCCAGGCTTGAACTGCCTCTTGCAGAAGTGGCTGGATGGTATCAAAGCTTTTCCACAAGCCAGGAAGGGCCCAGCAGAACTGGGAGCAGAGAGCCTCTGGGAATGGTATCTTGGCTGATCTTCAACCCCGGGCTGGGCCAGCTCTTCCGAATATAACCTGCACTCCCTCCCCCATTCCACAGATTGGGAAAGACCCATCCAAAGTCATGGAGGAAGTCCATGCTCAGGCTTGACCCCACACCTTTCTGACCGTGGCCAGGCTCTCTGTCCCTTCCCCAAAACTGATCCCAAGTCGAAGGACCTTGAGCCGGGAACTGAGACACCGGCTTCTTCCGGGTGTGCCTTTCAGAGAGGGCGTGTTACCAGCGGGGCCCTGCCTGCCCCTCAGGACCTCCGTTTCCTCCTCCGGGAAGTAAGAACACGACACTGCATGGCACCCGGGGTCTGCACATAAACACGGGGCCTTGTGTGTGAGGTCATTTCCCACCTCTCTGTCTGGCCAAGGCTCAGAACTCAGGTGGATAACATACATGAGAGGCTGGCCGTGAGAAAGGGATGGCACAAATGCAGTGACCCATGGCAACCAGCACCAGCCTCAGTGTGCAGGACACCACGGGGAGGGCTGGTGGCTGTGGCTAATTAGAGAGTGCACCTCTAGCTAACGAGGCAGTCACTGCTTGGCTCCTGCTGACTGTTGCCATGCAGAAAGCAAGCTCAGATCGCCAATTTTTAGTTTTCCAAGAGGATCTAGAAAAATGGTTTTCACATGGAATCATCTAACTTTTAGAAGTTAATTCCTCTTTTTTAAAAAAAAATGTTTTTTTAGCACTCTGGGTCAAACAAGCGTAGCTGCGGACTGGGTCTGCCAGTTTGTGCCTCTGCTGCAGGCTCTCCCTCCCCTGCCCGCTCCTGGGAGCACAGCTGGGCGCTGACAGGCTGAGTAGATAAAAACAGGCCTTCCACAGACACGGCCGGCCCCAGGGTGCAGAGCTGTGCACACCTCTCCTCTTGTTAATTTGCACAGCAGCCCTGCGTGAGCAGGGGGTGCGTGTGCCAGGGTCCCCAGTGAGAAGGAGGAACTTACCTGCGGTCCCAGAGCTGGAGAATGGGGAGCAGTCCTGTCTTTCTGCTAGGCCACCCCCAGGGGAGGGAGCTTGTTGATTGGTGTTGTTGGAGGAACCAGTGTGAGGGGACCCAGGGCTGGGCTTCCCAGGGTGAAAGAGGCGGGAGTGAGGACCCAGAGCACCCCTCCTACAACCTGTGAACTCCTTCCAGCGCCATCCCAACCCCCCCACACACACACCTGCCAGGCAGCTATTGAATTCCCATTTTCCAGAAGAGGAAACTGAGGTTCTAAGAGGAGGCATGGCTGGCAGACCCAGCCCTCAGGACCTCGGTTTCCTCCTCTGGAAAGTAAGAACAGAGCACAGAGCGTGAGCCCTCTCTCTCTCGGCCATCTACCCAGTCGATCTGGCTTATTACCTCCTTTTCTGTAGCCAAAGGAACAGATAGATCAGAGGTCTCAAGCGAGTGGCCTAGGGGTCAACACTGGCCCACAAAAGTGAATTCTCTGGCCTGTGTAGTATTTTTTACATTAACCAACATTTAAAATATAGGAAAACCCAAGTTGGTGACTTTGCTCAAACAATGAGAGCTGGCCATGCAAGAGCCACCTTTCCTTCCCTGCTTAAGACACTGCAGGGTTCCCAGCAGCCTTACAATAAGCCCTCGCTTCTCCCCAAGGCCTGCGTGCTGGGTTCCCGCCCGCCTCCTCCCTCTCCCCCTTCCCATTCCACTCCACCCCTCAGGCCTTGCCATGGCTGCCTCAGCTGTTACCTCCTCAGAGGGGCCTTCCTCAAGCACGTGTTCAGCCACTGCCCACTCCTTTGTCTTCACCGCATCTATTTTTTTGAAATTACATGATTCTTTTGCTTACTTGTGGATTGCTTGTCCCCCAGTCTTTCCACACCTGGAAGGCAGGGACCATGCATTTCTTAGTCACTGCTGTATCCCTAGTACCAAGAACAATGCACATGTGAGTGAATGAATGAATGAATGAATGAATTCCTGCCCTGGCCAGTGTGTTGATTGGAGCACCGTCCTGTGCAGGAGGAGGCCGCAGGTTCGATTCTCAGTCAGGGACATACCTAGGTTGTGGCTTTACTCCCCAGCCAGAGCATGTAGGGGAGGCAACTGATGGATGTATCTCTCTCACATCAATGTTCCTCTTCTCTTCTTGCTCTTTTCTTCTCCTCTCCTCACGTTTCTTTTCTCTTCCTCCTCCTTTTTCTCCCCTACCTCTCTAAAAAAAAATGAGAATAAATGAATTCCTAATCAGCTAGTAGAACTTAGTGCTAGAAGGGGTCACTGCTGTCTCATTTACTACAGTCTCCACCACTCCCGCTTGAATTAGGAGTCTTGAATCATGTCACTTACTCTGCTGTTTTTCCTATGGGAGAAAAGCACTTCCCTGTGCCCATTTCATCATCTGGAGCCAAAAAATGAAGTCCATACCACTCAAATCTGATGCCTGCTTGACCCTTGTGGACCAGTGACCTTCCAACTCATTCTTTTCCCATGCTGCTAAAAACCAGATCCAAAGACTTTCAGCCAGACCTCTCCAGTGCTTCAAACCTATCCCATAGCCCTGGCCAGTGTGCTCAGTGGTTAGTGTAGACCCGTGCATTGAAGGGTTGCAAGTTCAGTTCCTGATCAAGGGTACATAACCTGGGTTGCAGGTTCTATCCCCAACCTTGGTTGGGGCTTGTGCTGGAGGAATCAATGAATCTCTCTCTCTCTCTCTCTCCCTCTCCCTCTCCCTCTCCCTCTCCCTCTCCCTCTCCCTCTCCCTCTCCCTCTCCCTCTCCTTCTCCCTCTCCCTCTCCCTCTCCCTCTCTCTCCCCTTCCTTCCATCTTTCCCTCCCTCCCCACTTCCCTTCCACTTTCAAAAAAAAAAAAAAAAAAAAATCAATGGAAAAAATATCCTGGGGTGAGGATTAACAACAACAAAATGCCGTCTCACAGCTGCCTCTGTACATCCCCCTATAAGGCCCACAGGCACCCAGGTCTCCTTCCCAAGACCCCGTGCCCACTATTATGTGTAAGACTACCCCTCCCCCTGTGTCCCCATTAAGGTGATGGCCCCACCACTACTTTAAGTCCCATAAGCCCAAAGCCTGCAGACCCAGTGGTGAACAGTAGGAACCATGTCCCCATCCAGGGACCTAAGTCCAGGCAGAGACCCAGAGGTGTAAGTGCAAAGTGACATGAGTCTGGTCAGGGGAAAACTGGAGTCTGTGGGAGCCCTGAGGGAGCTGGTAGACAAAGAAGACTCCCGGGGGGGAGGGGAGGAGGCATTTAAACCGAGGCTTGAAGGTTGAATGAGAGCCAGGCAGGAGGGGAGAGGCCACGATGGGAGAGATGTGAGCCACAGAGGAACCCAAAGGTGGAACACTTATATATGTGTGTGTGAGTGAATATGGGTGTCTGTGCATGTGTGTGTGAATGTGGGGGGTTGAGTGAAATGGATGTGTGTGCTAGTGAAAATGGGTGTGTGCGTGTGTGTCGGTGCATGTATATGCTTTGGGGTAGGAAGTGCATAATGAATGATACAGCCCCGCAGGTCAGTAAGTCTGCGGGGCTTGAAAGCACATTATGGAGTTGGATTTGACCCTAAAGGTAGTAGAGAGTCATTAAAGATTTCTGTCTTCCCTGTTTTATTGGTTTTTAAATCATAACTCACTCGGCCAGCGTGACTCAGTGGTTGTGCATCAATCTATGAACCAGGAGGCCACGATTCAATTCCTGGTCAGGGCACAGGCCCAGGTTGTGGGCTCCACCCCCAGTGTGGGGCATGCAGGAGGCAGCCTATCCATGGTTCTCTGTCACCATTGATGTTTCTCTCTTCATCGCTGAAATAAAAATAAAAAAGGTCATAATTCACATTCAAACTTTATAGACGGGCAGACAAAAAAAAAAAAAAATCTCTTCCATTTCCAAATCCCTGGTCTAACTTCGCAGAGGCAACCACTACTAAAAAATTACATGAGTTTCCTTCTAGAAACATTCTTTTCATAACTGCACCATAAATGTGAGTCTGTCCTTTACCTTGGCTACATGCATGGGATCCCTCTGGCCATGCTGTCCCGGACTTTTTTCACTCATTTTATTCTGGACATCTTTCCTCTTCCCTCCGCACATTCTGACAGCTCCGAGGGGTTCCCTGCACTTTCTGAACACACTTCTTGGTTTTCTTCTCATCACCAGCCATGGCCTCCTCACCTCTGTGCACCACCGGTCTGTCTTCAAGGCCATCCCTGGAGGTGGGCGTGCTGGCCCAGATGCTACGTGCACTGAAACTGATAAATGTCTTTTCAAAAAGATTACAGCCAATTTACCTCCCCAGCAAGAGCCAGGGGAAGTAAATTGCATGGAATCGCGTGGTTGGACCAGCATCTTAAAAGATCACTCAGTCATTCATTCAATAAATATTTATTGGGAGCTACTAGCTTACTACGTGCTAGTCATTTTCTTGACTCTGAGGATACATCGGTACACACCAACAACCCTCCTCCCCCCGCCCCAACACACACACACACACACAACTACCGTCCTACAGCTGACATTCTAATGGTAAAGCCAAGCCATAAGCAATTAACCAATGTAATATGTCAGATGGTGACAGGTACCGTGAAGAAAATCGGAGCAGGGCAAGCGAGATGCAGAGTTCCAGCCAGCGCCGGGGGGGAGGCTGTTTTATACAGGGAGCAGACCGTGCAGATATGGGGCAGAAAAGCATTCCAGGCAGAGAGGACAGCCAGCGCAAAGGTCCTGGGGCAGGAGGTGTTTGAGGATCAGCCGTGCAGCCAGTATGGCCAAAGCAGCATAATCGAGGGAGAGGTACTGGGGCCAGAAAAATGCAGAATCTCTTATAGGGTCCCTATAAGAAAGTTACTTGAACTTCGCATAAGATTGAGGAGACACTTGCATGGGGGTTGGGGGCCCATGATCTGCCTTGAGTCCTATTACCATCCCTCTGGCTGCTGTGTTGAGAAAGAGCTGTTTGGGATGAAGAAAAAAGCAGGGATGATCCAGCTGGGAGATAGTACAGGTTAAGCTCAGGGTGGTAGCCAGATCCTGGGTATACTCTGAAGGCAGATCCCTTATGTTTTGCTGATGGGTGGAATTTTTTAAGGGTGTGACAGAAAGTTAAGGGTGACTCTGGGGATTTGGGCCTGAGTCGTAGCAAGGTGGCTTTGGAGATGAGGCAGGAAGAGCGGGCTTCAAGCTCGCTTTGGCTGCTGAGCGTGTAAGGGAACAGAGCTGCTCGCAGACCCAGCCGCCTGCCAGATCCTCTCCCTGGCTGTCCCCCAGGTACCACATGCTTGGCTTGTCCAAAATGCAACTCCTCCTTTCCCCACATCTCCTGCCCAGCACCATTGCCTGGCAACCCACCCACCCCCAGCCAGAATCCTGCGGTCCACCCCCACCTGCACCCCCTACAGCCAGCTGGTTCCTGTTAGTTTTCCCTCAGAGCTCTCAATCCTGCCGACTCCCATTCCCCGGGACCTTTCCGGAACCTCTCATCCAGACCACTGCAGCTGCTCAGGGTCCGTGGCAGAGGGGCTTGGTGAATGAATGAAGCACTGGGTAAATGAGATTGAATGAATGACTGACTAGCCTCCTTGTAAGCCTTGGCCAGCCCCTCTCCTCCAGCCCAGCCTCCACATCATTCCAGAGCCATCTTTGAAAGCACACATGTTGGGCTTTATCCCTTCTTAGACTATCAAGTATTCACAGCTCCCCAGGGCCTACACAGACAGAACTGGTAGCCTACAGACATATTTTATTTAGCCCCCAGAGTGCTGTGGTTTGTTTGTTTTATCTTGAATTAATTAGGACATTTTACATTAAAGTGCCGGATTTCCCACTTCTCGCTGGCACTACCAGGATGCATTTCTCCAGAACAAGGCTTGGCTGGTGAAGTAGTGGTTCTCCCCTTAGACGGAGCATACGCTCACTGGTTTGCGGCAGTCTTCACCACTCCCTATGGCTTTATACTGAGCTTGCTCCCCTCACTTAAACTACTTCCTCGCCCCAGAGTTTGTGGCCCGTGGGCTAGAGGACAAAACGCACAATTTCTAGGCAGCATGGGGTGGGCTGACAAGGAAGGGTGAAGGTGACAGAAGTTGAAAGTTAGACTGGACAAATTGTGAAGGGCCTTGAATGCCATGTTAGAAGTCAGGGTCGCCGGGGGCAGTGATGTGGGTGGGTTTGTGCTGTTAGCCCAGACCAGGGAAGAGGATCTGGTGGAGGAGGCCTGGCTGCTGGGAGGAGGGTGAGAGAGAAGAGGCCCAGATGCAGGCTCTTCTCCGCTGGGTCTCCCCTGAGCCTGAGTCCACTCTCTCTGTGTTTCAGCACTGGACAGCAGCCTGGCGCCGCAGCCTGGTCCTGAGGGCAGGTGGAAAGTGCTGAAGAACCAGCCTGGCTCCCGTGGCTTCAAAAGGACCCCAGCCCTTGAGGACCCCAGCCCACAGCCCTCTGCCGCCCACAGGATGGGAGCCTGGGGGCTGGGAGCCCGGCCATGAGGGATTACCGCTCCTCCCCACCAAAGGCCAGCCCTGAACCCCCCAGCCACACCCCTGCCCAAAGCCCAGACATGGACTCCAGACACAGCAACCCCAGTGGGACTGGGGAAGGGGCCTCCTGCTCAGAGGATCCTGGCAGGAGTTTGGCCTGCCCATCCCTGACCTGCACCCCTCCCCAGGAGGCAGCCACCAAAGAGACCGTGGGAGCGCATGGAGCCTCCATCTCAGGAACACCAGAAGCCACCTTCTCTGGGAAGCCGGAGCTTGTGTCCTCGGCGAACACTGACCCCTCATCCTTGGAGAGCAGAAAGCCTGTGTTCTTGGAGAAGTTGGACGCCAAGCCTTCCAAGCAGGTAGATCCCGCTAGCGTAGAGAAGGAAGACACTGGGTCCTTGAGAAAGGCAGATCCCATGTTCCTAGGAAAGTCAGAGCCTGACATCTCGAGAAAGGGGGAGCCTGTGGCTTCTGGAAGGATGGATCCTGGGACCCCAGGAGAGGAGGATCCTGTGTCCTCGGCCAAAGTGGGCCCTGCCTGCCCAAGACAGGAGGAGCCCGGGTGTTCAGGACAGAAGCTTCCTGTGTCCTCAGAAGAGGCGGGCTCTGCATCTGCGAGCAAGGCACACCTTGTGTCCTTGGGAAGGCGAGATCCTGGGCCCGCAGGGAAGGCCGATCCCGGGTCCTTGGACTACGCCCCTTCTGCGTCTGCAGGAAAGACAGATCCTGGGTCCTTGGCAATGCTGACGCCAAGGTCACCGGTCAAAATGGAGCCCATGTCCCATGGAACAGTGGCTCCGGGGTCGGCGGGAAGGGGTGGATGCTTGGAGATGACCGATCCTGTATCTGTGGGTCATGCAGAAACTGTGTCCTCTACCAAAGAGGACCCTCAGGCCCCGGGAATGATGGAGCCTGCCTCCTCCGGAAAGGCCGATCCGGTGTCTGTGAGAATGACAGCAACCGGGTCTGCTGGGCAGGCGGGAGCTGGGTCGTTGGGCAAGATGGGTCCAGCTCCCCTGGGGAAGGTGGATCCTGTGTCCTCGGAAAAGCCGGAGCCCTTGTCCCTTGGGCAGGTCGGACTGGCATCTGTGGGAAAGGCAGGAGCTGTGTCCTCCCAAAAGGAGGACTCGGCGTCTTCCAGAAAAGTGGAGCCCCTCGTTTCTGCAGGAAATATAAAAACGTCATCATCTTCTGGGACAGTGAGTCCTGACTCTTATGGGAAGACGGACCCTGTGCCCTCGGTTCCTGGGGATCCCAAGGGCTTGGGGACAGCGGGGCCCTCGTCTTCTGTAAAAGCTGGGACAGTGACGGAGGGGAAAGCAGCGCCCCTGTCCTCAGAGAAAGCAGGACCCGTGGCCTCCGGAAAGGTGGGTCCCACCACCTCAGGGAAGGCGGGCCCCGCCGTGGACAGCGTGGGCCCTGTGAGCAGGGGGAAAGCAGGAAGCGTGTCCCCCGGAGAAGTGGACTCCGTGTCTGCAGGAAAGGTGGCGCCCACGACCATAGGGAACACGGCCCTGGCGCCCTCGGGGAAAGCCCATGCTGCCCCCGAGGGAAAGGCGGGTGCTCTGCTCCCAGAGAAGGCGAGTCCTGTGAACTCCTCGAAGGTGGGCCCCGGGGCCTTGGGGAGCGCAGACACAAAGCCCCCTGAGCAGGAGAGTCCCACGCCATCAGGAAAAGCGGCCGAGGCCGCGTCTCTGCAGAAGGAGAAGCCACTGGCCTCGGAGCGGGAGGATCCTGGGTCCTCAGGAAAAGCAGGCCCTGCTGCCTCTGGGAAGGTGGAGCCTGCGGCCCTGGGGAAGGCAGATGCTGCTCCACCCCCAACCCCGGGGAAAGCAGAGCCCCCGTCCTTGTCCTTGGGGGACGTGCCCCCTCTGACTCTGGAGCAGGCGGAGGCCCTCTCCGGACCCAGGAAACCAGCCGGTAAAGCCTGCGGCCCAGCCACCTCTCCCTCCGCTGCGGTTGCCGGGAGCAGCGGCGGGGGCCTGGTGCAGCCAGCGCCGGCCATCAGCACGGAGGCCTGCAGCCCGGAGGCCGATGCGCCCCCGCCGGGGCCGCGGACTCGGGACAACTTCACCAAGGCGCCGTCGTGGGATGCGGGCGCCCCGCCGCCGCCGCGTGAGGACGCGGGCACCCAGGCGGGCGCGCTGGCCTGCGTGTCGGTGGCCGTGAGCCCCATGTCCCCGCAGGACGGCGCGGGCGGCTCCGCCTTCAGCTTCCAGCCGGCGCCGCGCCCCGCGCCCAGCCCCGCGCCCAGGCCGCCCTCGCGCCGGGACGCGGGCCTGCAGGTGTCGCTGGGGGCCGCCGAGACGCGCTCCGTGGCCACCGGACCCATGACGCCGCAGGCCTCCGCGCCGCCCGCCGCCGCGCCGCCCGCCTTCCCCGAGGTGCTGGTGCGGCCCGGCTCGGCGCTGGCCGCCGCCCTGGCGCCCTCGGAGGCGGCCGAGCCCGTGCGCGACGTGAGCTGGGACGAGAAGGGCATGACGTGGGAGGTGTACGGCGCCTCCATGGAGGTGGAGGTGCTGGGCATGGCCATCCAGAAGCACCTGGAGAGGCAGATCGAGGAGCACGGCCGCCAGGGGGCGCCCGCGCTGCCCCCGGCCGCCCGCCTGGGCCCTGGGAGGGCCGGGTCGGTGCGCGCTGCGCCCCCCGAGGGCGCCGCCAAGCGCCCGCCGGGCCTCTTCCGGGCGCTGCTGCAGAGCGTGCGCCGGCCCAGGTGCTGCTCCCGAGCCGGGCCCACGGCCGAGTGATCAGCTCCCCTTTTGTACGCCCCGGTGTCCAACCTTCTCAGGCTCCCTTCTTGAGCCCAGTTCCCTGGGAGGCCTCCAAGGCGTGGGCAGGCTCTCTAGGGCCTTCTCGTCCTCTTTTTCAGCCCCCTCCCCTCCCACACAAATGAACCCTCTCCGCCCAGCTCCCTCCTGGTCATGAGCCCACGAGTCCAGCCCTGACTCCTGACTGTCCCCTCACGCTGTCCTCTCCACTCCCTCCCGGTCACACTGGGCGACCTCAGGAACCTGCTCAGCACCCCGGCCCTGAGGGCTGGTGGGCTGCCAGTGTCAGCCAGGTCCCCAGAATGGGAGAGACTGTGTGCAAAACCTCCAAGCGTGCAAGGATGGGTGTGCGAGGCCCCAGAGTGTGCGAGGCTCTGAATGTGAGGCCCTGGGCATGTGTGAGATTGTGTCCTCCCCACAGGCTTTCCCCGTGGCCCAGGCATCTCTTGCATGCTGGTAGTCACCCCCAATTCCTGTCTCCCCTCACCCAGCCCAGCTCCCAGCCCTATGTCCACCCTCACAGGACACTCTTTACAATCCCGGGGGGGGGGGGGGGAGGAGGGCAGTGGCAGGAGTGCCCTGGCCCTGCAGTTGAAAGGAGAGTCTCAGAAAGGTCAGAGGGCCTCAGACAGGTCTGGGTTACAGGTCAGGGCCACAGGCAGACTGAGTGGCCGCTGGTCCTGGGTATCGGGGCAGGATGGAGAGCTCATCCTACAACCACAGTTGTCCTCTCAAGGCTTCCCTCTCCAGCCTCTTGTCCACCCCTGTGCTGTGAAGACCCCTCAGAACACCTGGTCCCACCCCTCCAGCCGTGGTTTTTGGCTACAAACTGTCACAGTGTACCTTGGTAATAAAATATTCCCCCCCGACTCTCACCAGTTGTGATTGGCTACAGGCAGAAGGGAGCAGAGCAACACAACACCAGTGTATTATTATTTGCAGGGACAGTAGGAATCATTTTGGGGGAACAGGATCTCTTCTGAGGTAGAGAGGGGCCCACGCAGGGCCCTGTGGCAGGGCCCCATCACAGGTCTGTGGTGTCCAGGCCAGCATTGACGAAGGACAGGTCCTGCTGCTGTCCGCCTGCGCCCGCCGTCCTTCCTGACAGCACCGCGCTCAGGGGCTCCGCGTCCGGCTCCATCGGACTCTGAGGGGGCTCCCTCTGTAGGGGCGGAGAGTAGAGGCGTGAAGGGCTGGGACAAGATGGGGTGATGTCTCCAGGCCCTAAGGAAGCGGGCAGGCCTTCCAGCCCACACAGACCGGTGGCTCCTCCGCCGGGGTCCCACCCTGCTCCTCTTGGGGCCTCCGTTCTCTGGCTGTGGCCCGGAGGTGGCCAGGCCCCCGGAGGTGCAGATGGACCCAAGTGAAGGGCTGGACCTCATCGACGGGGGAACTGCCCTGGCCTTTGCCCCCTCCACAGACACAGCCGCACTTGGGTGTCCTGCCCGGTCCTGAATAGTGCCAGGCCCTGGATCCTGTGCCAAGGAGCCAGCCCAGCCAAGTTCCTGCCACCTGCACCCCACGGCAGGCACCGTGCGGGCAGGCTGCGTAAACGGCGCGGTCCGTCCATCGCCTGAAGTGCCCACAGGAACCCCGTGAGGGAGGAGTTGTGTGCCCCACTTTGCAGACGTGGAAACTGAAGCTGTGAGGGCTCTCATGGCCAGGCAGGGGCAGCGCAGGGTTTGGGCCGCTGGCCTTGCTGGCTCTAAAGTTTGTCCGCAGCACAACGCTGACTCCCTACTGTCCCCTCACAGTTCTCAGCTCCCCTCCCTCCCGGTCACCCTGGGCGACCTCAGGGGCTTTTGGTGCAATCCGACATCTCCTTCTGCAGCCAGGGTCTCACTGTCCATCGTGGTGCACACCCACACATCTCCCTGCCTCCCTCCCCACCCCACTCCCACCCCTTGTGACATGGGCACATACACAGCCAAACAGACACACTTCACAACTGAGCCCTTCAGCAGACCAGGCTCTGCTGCTGCCCAGCAGAGCCCACAGGCCGAGCCCAGCACCGTCCGGGGGGGACCACAGGGCCGTTCAGGCCGGGGCTGTTCCCTGGTGAACAGCGGAACCTCGGAGCGGCCCCAGGTCAGGCACACATTCTCCGTGTGCTCCCTGGAGCCCTCGCCGCTAACCCGCCTCGGGAGCTGTTGGCACGGGGCAGCCCGGGAAGCTGCTACTGGCCTTGGAGACAAGACCTGTTCTCAACCTGCAAGCGTTCTGACCTTGGGCAAGGCAGCACCCCAGCACCCCTCCCTGGCCCTGGTTGTTTTAAACGGTAGGATTGGGTGATCCCTCTGGGTACCTCCCACACACACACACACACACACAGAGGTCTTGAGTGAGTCAGGGCACCAGGGATCTGAGGAAAAAGGCGTCCCACTGTGTTCCCCACTCAGCCACGGGAGAAGAGGGGCAGCCCCCGGGCCTGCCCACTGCTCCAGGGGTGGGACCTCGGGCAGCTTCTGGAAATGTAATGACACCCTGCCATCCCAGGACCGTCTTGGCTCTCTCCTGGCTTTGAAGGCTCTCTGTGGCCTGGCCCCCTCCCTCTCCAGACTCTTCAGAGCTCCCCACCTTTCCCAGCCCACAGATCCAGCCCCCTCGCTGGGGCCCGGACTGCATTTCCCTCTGGGGAGCAGCTTTGGCCTCCACCTATCTGGCCACCAGCTCTGGCAGGCAGAACTATTTCCTTCTGCCTCCATTACCCCTAAACATGTCCGTTGGAGTTTTCCAACCCATCTTCAACCAGAGATGAGCTGGTTACCCAGGGACCTCTACCCCTGCCTGGTGGCCTGCATGGTCATCTACGACTCCCATGCTTGGGATCCTGTTGGGAGGCCTCCATGTTACAGCCAGATCCCTGTGCAACAGCCTGGTGTCTCAATGTCCACGAGAGGCTGTGGTTGGCCAAGTCCTTCCACATAAGGCATTCTCCGGGAAATTAAGTGCTGAAGGAAAGGTGGGGAGCCCCAGAGAGCAGGACAGAGCTGAGAGTAGGACGCAGAGGGTCGTGGATACCTAACCATCCCCCACACACAGAACCGCAGACTACTGAAGTTCAGTGGGGCTTAGAGCTGCTTCTCCAGTGGTGGCTTTCAAAATGGGAAGGAGAGATGGTAGTTCTTTCCGGTTCTGGTGCCCACCCCTGCATGGAGAGGACCCATCATGCACTCCTCTCCCGCTTCTCAATCCTGCCTGCACACAAGAACCCCAGGGCTTTCACAACATGTCCATGCCAAACCCACCTCAGCCCTCGGATCAGAGTCCCCGGGCTGTGGCCCGGTACTTCTAAAGAGCTCCCCATGTGAGCCGAAGCCAGTTTGGCTCAGTGGTAGAGCGTCAGTCTGCGGACTGAAAGGTCCCAGGTTCGATTCTGGTCAAGGGCATGTACATTGGTTGTGGGCACATCCCCGATAGGAGGTGTGCAAGAGGCAGCTGGTCGATGTTTCTCTCCCATCGACGTTTCTAGCTCTCTATCTCTCTCCCTTCCTCTCTGTAAAAAAATCAATAAAATACATTTTTAAAATAAAAATAAAAATAAAAATAAAGAGCTCCCCATGTGATTCTAAGCAGCAGCCAGGCTGTGTGAAGTCTCGAGCCAATAGAACCAGAAGACTTACTGAACGAATGATGGTACAGTTGTTCATTTGAGCCTACCTTCTCTCCTTTGCTAGGTTATATTCACCTCCACATCTCCTCCCCCCACCCTGCCAGCTCCTCTCTAAGGGATATAAGGCAGGGAAGCAGATAGTTTAGCATTTACTCTGTGCCCGGTGGTTTTTATACCCACTCTTATTTCATCCTCACAACAGCCCTACAGGGCTGGTGTTCCGGTCCCCATTTGCAGGTGAGAAAACAAAACCAGGGAGAAGTCGCCCTCCCAGGGTCACGGTGACTAGTAGAGGAGCAAGGCTTGGACCATCCCAAAGCCATAAGGTGTCTCAGGGCCCGGAGCGGAAACGCTAAGGCAGAAGCAGATGCCTCTGCTCTGCCCCGAGCCCCACCCCTTCAGAGAAGGACCCCGGGTCAGAATCCCCAGGCAACAACTAATCCCCCATCTTGCCTTGATTGTCTGTTTGTTGTTTTCCAGGTCCACAGAGTTGTCATCCAAGGAGTTGAGGCTATTGGGGAGATGATGGAATTCAGATCGTTGGCAGGCCCAATCCTCCCTTTCTGTGGTCAAAACCACCATTGCCTCTACCTACTTTTCTACCACACCATCATCATCACCACCACTATCACAGCCACCATCACCATCACACCATCACCACACCATCACCAGCACCATCAACACAGCCACCATCACCATCACACCATCACCATACTCTCATCACCACCATCACTCCCACCATCACCACACCATCACCCCACCCTCATCACCACCATCACTCCCACCATCACCATCATACCATCACCACATCATCACCACCATCACAGCCACCATCACCATCACACCATCACCACACCATCACCAGCACTATCAACACAGCCACCATCACCATCACACCATCACCCTATCATCACCACCATCACTCCCACCATCACCATCACACCATCACCACATCATCACCACCATCACTCCCACCATCACCATCACACCATCACCACACCCTCATCACCACCATCACCACATCATCACCACCATCACTCCCACCATCACCATCACACCATCACCACACCCTCATCACCACCATCACCACAACCATCACCCCACCCTCATCACCACCATCACTCCCACCATCACCACCACCATCACCATCACTACCCCCATTACAATCATCACTACCACCTCTATCACCACCACCATGTCATCGCTACTATCTCCACCATCATCCCCCCAGCTCCATCACCAACGCTACCACCACCCATCATTACCACCATCACCACCACCAACAACAACAACTGCACCATCACCACCACCAGCCAGCATGGTTATGAGTGACACTGCTCACCTGTGATGGTCCACGTCGCTGGAGGAGGATTGGGACTCAAAGCCCAGGTCCTTGGTGGGGAGGTTCAGCACGGGATTGGCCCTGGAGAAAAGGCCTCGTCAAGTGGCCGTGTGCCTCGCCGCCCCATGGGGCCTCTAACCCACCCTCTGAGTCCCACTCACCGATCCGCAGTGTACATGTTAGTCCCAGGGATGGCAAAGGTTGAGGGCACCACCCCTGCTGCTGTTTTCCGGGCCTCCTTGGCAGCCTTTATAGCCCGAAGCTTCCGGCGGTAGCTGTGGGAACCAGGAAAGGGGTCACTGCTTTCCCAGCACACCCACCGTGTGTCCAGCCAGGCCCTGGGAGTGTGGCTTCACAACAGCCCTGGCCAGGAAGAGCATTCCCTCCGTTTCCAGGTATAAAGAACTGTCGAGGAAGGAAAAGGATTTGCCAAAGGCCACACAGTTGACTAGTGTCAAGGCCTAGACTCAGACCCAGATGTGACTGCTGACGGCAAATGATTGGAAAAGGAAAAAAGAAACAGCATTTATTAAATGCCTTTTAGGTGCCAGACATCTCCCTGGGGTGTGAGATGCATATTGCTTCCTTGAGGGCTTTGAGGAACCTAGTCTCATGCCCATTATGCAGATGAGGAAACTGAGGCTTGAGGAGGGGAGATGACCCAAGATGTCACCACAGGTCAATGGGGATGGAATACAGATATACCTGACACCTAAACCCAAGCTCTATGTACCCTCTCTTCCTTACGGCTTGGGGTGGAGACACAGGATGGTGAGAATGGTACCTCTTTCGGACACACATGAGAGCCAAGGTCATGATCACAATGACCAGCAGCAAAGCCACTCCCAATCCTATGATGACGCTGCTGAGCACCTTCGGCACATCTGACTTCAGCTCACCCTGGGAGCCCTGGAGAAAGA